ATCCTCACTGCTGCCTAGAAGTGAAGAGTGGCCGCTGCTCTTGGTCACCACGGCTGCACATCTGGCCAAGCGAGTCATGGGACAAGCAGCTGGCGGCGAGTTCTTCTGGAGAGCAGGGGGTTCAGCAGCAGTCCGAGGTGCCAATTCCTGCTTTTCCTATCAAGGAGTACAAAGAGGGCAGGCGGGGCATCTGCCAAACTCCCAGATGCCTGAAGAGGCCGGCTAACAAGCGCTCCTCCTCGTCATCCTTGCAACCTGCAGGCCACCCGCCTTTCTGAGCTGGCTTACGTAGATGACAGCGATGGTGAGATGCTGGACCAGTAAGCAGAGCACACCATCGATGCGCTCACTGGCTCTTTGCCAGTGGAGCAAGGATATGACATGCTGAGAAAGAGGATAGCAAGCAACAGTTGCTAGGGATGAACTGTGGTGCTGGAGGAGACTCCTGCGAGTCCCTTGGACCACAAGGCGATCAAACCGATCAGTCCTAGAGGAGATCAACCCTGACTGCTCTTTAGAAGGCCAGATCCTGAAGATGAAACTCAAATACTTTGGCTACCTAATGAGAAGGAGGGACTCCCTGGAGAAGAGCCTGATGCTGGGAAAAGGGGAAGGGGACGGCAGAGGATGAGGTGGCTGGATGGAGTCATTGGGTATGGGCTTGGGTGGACTCTGAGGGCTGGTGGAGGGCAGGAGAGCCTGGAGGAATGTTGTCCGTGGGGTTGTGATGGGTCGGGCATGACTGCGACTAAATAACAATGGCTGTAACAGACCCTTACAGTGCGAGTTTCTTGCTCAAAGGCCATTGGTAATACTGGGGCAAAAGTGCAATGACGATGCTTATAATGATGCCTAGGACTGGAAAGGGAAAGTCCAGAGAGGCCCACAGAGAAAGTCCAGTCAAAGTTAGTGTTTTGAAACAACACATTTTATTTACCTCTTCAAGGCAAAGCACAGGTTCCAAAATAGCAAACATTTCAAGGCTTTTTTTTAATCAGTAGGAAAAATAATTTCAAACATTAAAAATAAAATTCTACCAAGAGCTTTCCTGTTTTGCACGCACCCCTAATTCAAGTAGTAGGTCATTTTAAAAATAAGCTTGCTCATCATCACATGATGGAGAGAATGTCAAAAACTTTAAAGCTTTCTTGAGAATAAATCCCTTAACAGAGCATGGAAGCCGCACACAGGAAGTCTTGCAGCCAAACTCGATTATCCCCTGGGCTGATTTTTTTGCCTTTGCTTGCAATGATTCGGCTATCACTGTCACCGAGAGCTTCTGTGCAGCTCCTAATATGATTCATTACCCAGAGGTGAAATCTACTACCATCAGATTACGAGCATGATAGTTTTTGATGGCATGGAAAATTTTAACTAAGATTCCCTGCTGAGAGGAAAGGGGTGTGCATGAGGGGGAGAGGAAGAATCCAAACTTAGCTTTTTAAAGAACGTTAGGATGGTAAAACGGTGCATAAATTATAGGGATCTTTAGAGCTGAAGCTTCTCCTCTTGCTTTGCTGGCTCATGAAGAACAGTCCTTTAAGGAGGTCACTTATGGAGTGACAGATCCCATGGCTAATACAAAGAGTAAGAAACACAGATGCCCTTTAAGAGAAATACTCAGTCTGACTTACATGAAAACCTTTGAATCAAGGAGCACCAATTTTTAAAAAGGCATTTTCTATACTTCCTGCTCCCTTACTCAAATGAGCTTAAAAAGTAAAGGTTCCAGGTATGTGATCTAAACCATGTCCTTACAGACCGTTTTCTTACAGAAACTGCAAGCCATTTTAGCACTTAGGTAAGAGTAAACCTTGTAAAACAACAGAAGCTAAACATTAACGAATTGAGAACCAACCTGTTCCTTCCTTCCTTGCGTGCCCAATGGGCTAAGATATAATGTTGCAGCTTCTCAGTGTTTTTACCAATTGGGATCAATTCACCTCACTATACAAAAAATGTGCCTTTGGCCTAAAAGTTTAGCCTATATTTGGGTTAATTCAATTCTATATATAGATATGGAAGTTGTAAAAACTAAACAATAGGTTGAAAGATTAACTTTGCAGAACAATGGCCAACAGCAGAGCAGAAGGAATATATAATTAAATATAAATACCACCCTTTCGGTCCTGTTACCTGGTCTTCTTCTACTTTTCTCTGGCAAAGTTCAGGGCTGCCTCTGACCCCAACAGTGATACATTCTTCCTAATTTTTGGAGAAATTGTACCCCTGGATCCTGTCTGCTTCATTCTCCACTCTTTGAATGTACTGATGCCTTTAAATGCCATAAACTTTGCTTCTGGTTTGTTTAGCAGCCTTCCCCAAACCGATATTGTCTAGATGTGCTGGGCTCATTGGTCTTACTCAGTATTCTCGGCACTGACTTGCAGCGACACTCCGAGTTGTTTTGCCAGTCCTTCCTGGAAAGTGGGAACTTGAGATTGAACTTCTGCAGGCTAAACATGTAAGCCACCACTGAGCCGTGGCCTTAGGAATGATGGGACTTGCAGTCGCACACATTTAGAGGGCTCCAAGCTGCAGAAAGGCTGCTGCACATCACTTGTTTTGCATATTAGCAGACAAAACCAATGCACGCGAGTTCTGGGACATACCAGCTAGAAAGGAGAGTGAACAGTCACTTGGCCTAGACCAGGATGTGGGTTTTGGGTCCCGCGAGGCTGCACTTGATAGGACCGCAGAAGCATGGCCGCGGAAGACGGAAGTGGCTCGGAACCTGCGGCCCCTTTGTGGTGGGTATGTTTGGCACTTGACTATTGAGCCCTAAAGAAATAGGCACTAAGTTAAAAATAATCCTCAAATTTATTTCAAGATGTTGAAATGTAATTGTTAGCAGAACAACATGCGGGATACATCTTGCCAAATTTCTATTTCAGTGTCTGACTGGGCAGCAGTCAGACATTCATGTGGCAACAACATCCAGGCCCAATGAAAAGTCTTGACATTCATACTGAGAGCCCTGAATGGCTTGGTGCCAGAATACCTAAAGGAGTGCCTCCTCCCACATATTTTAAGTGTTAAAGATAATTTTAAAGATTTTATTGAATTTTATAGTAATTGTTCAGTGCTATAGAACTATAGTATAGTTCTGTGCTACTTTTTATTGTGTTTTCATTGGTTAAGAACTGAGGTTATTGTACATTTTTATTGTGTTTTCATGATGATTATTGTGATTTTATTACTTTTATATATGTTAATATTACTTACTTTATTCTGTATTTGCTGTTTTATAATATACTTCATAATCTGCCCTGAGATCCATTCTGGCTAAGAGGGCAGGACAGAAATCATTAATATCATCATCATCATCATCATCATCATCATCATCAAGAGCTGCCTTCCAATCCATTCCTGCATCCATTTGCAAATGCTTTTCTTAAAATATCTGCATATGCGTTTTTGTACACATCTCTTCCTGCTGCACACATTTTTTTGCAAGCAATCTTTCCCGAATGCATACCATTATGTACGTAATTTCATGAATGTGCATATGGTTTGACTGGAGAAATGCATTGCAAAATCTGGAGAAATGTGAATACTGAAGGATATTCTAGTTTTTGTATGAATTCAGCAAGTGCTAATTAGATGAGTTTGCATTAACATTTCTTCCCCATACCTTTTTACAACTTAGCAACGTTTGATCAGATCACACTGAGAGCAGTTTGGTAGCATCCATGTTTTTCTTAGCAAGGGACCCTTTCGTGCTATAAAATGCACGAGCGACCTGCAGAAGCATTCCTGTGTTTCCCTAGGTTCTTCAAACGACTCTGAGAACACCACACATTCATTTCTCAATGTCTGTATGAACATTTTTACAGTTTTTAAACTGTAATGTCTGAGACTGTTCCAAGAACCCAGAGAGAAACTGAAGAAGCTTGGTTCCACAAGCCCTGCAATGAATAGGAATTCTCAATTGCTTTAGTGCATAAATGAGCCACTTTCAGTTGTATTTTGCATATATCTGACTTTGAAGAAACAGCTGGATTTTACGACTGGGGTCCATTGTTTCTTCTCATCTCCCAGACATTTGTACAGAACAGCTGAGACAAATGTGCCATTTGGCAATTTGTATTATCACATTAAAAACTTACTTTTTAAAAAGTTTCTGTTACCCAACACAATATAAATATAGGGAAATTCTATTCTACCGCAACAGACTACTTGGCATCTCATCTTCTGTTGACTCTCAAGTTATTAATCGGGATTCTCTGCATCACCCACCTTGAGTGAAGGCTCTTTTGCGCAGAAGGCTTAAACTTCTTAACTGCTTATACAAAAATAGAAAGCTATGAAACATATTGCCTCTGCAGATTTATTCAATACTGCTCAGACTCAGCAGCCTGGATTGTGCATTATTTACAAGTTTTATGTCACCTTGCTTTGAGGAAGGTTATAGTGACTATTGAAGAAAGATGGGTGGTCAAAGTAGGGTTCGATATGAAAGGGAACGTAACTGGAAGCCCAAGGCCGCTCCTCACAGGCACGTTTCTTATTTGCTTAGAAGGTAAGTGTAAGGTGTGCTTTTCAACAAGGACACACCACCACTGACGAACGACAAAAAGGAGGTGTGTCATTCAATAGCCCACGTTCTTCTTCCCAGTGATAAAGGGCATGAACAACAGAGCAGTATTTTCATTATGCCACCCAGAAGAACCTTTTCCATATTTGAGCGAAAGACTTATCAACTCCACCATTAAATAAACAGATTTGGTTTAAGTTGGTCTCCATGGGCAAGCGGCACAAGTGAAACTTGTCTGTCTCATCCAAGGACAGTGTGCTAAGGGTCACTTCGACGTGCGTGCAAGAGAGTGACATTTTAAGACAAGAGCTGTAAGTTCCTCTACTTCTGAGCAAATGTAAAAGTGTGTCTGGATCCTATGTTATGCTATATTTTCCTTGGGTGCAGGATGAACTATTTGTCCGCCTTCTAATACTGTGACACTGCGCAGGTTGTTCCATGTAGGACGGCAAGAGATACACGCTTCTTGGCTATTACGAAGCTGCAGTATAAGGGCAACTTCACAGACAAATCATTTTTATTTTCAAAATCTTTCATCCTTACTGACATCTGTCAGATAGCTCTGTTCGCATATCATTTTGGCACTTCGCATGTCCCCTCCTCATTTTTCCATCTAGCCAGACTGCTCTCCCTATTCCAGCCAAAGCTCCCGCAGCGTAGTCCCCACGGCAAAGTGGGAAGGTATCATTCCAAAGCCCGAGGGGCCTTCATCGCGCCCATTGCACAGTGCAAATGTGAGGGCTGCAAGCTCAGGGCATCACATGCTGCTGCAGTGCAGCCTCCACTCCCTTCGTTGTAATAGGGCTTTGCAAGTTCCCATGTGAATCCAAATGAAATAAACGGTGGGCACGGGGAAGCAGTACTTATGCTTAGCTCTTTTTTTTTTTTTTTTTAAGAGATCCAGGTTAGGTACACCGGTGTATAAACCAGCAGTATGTTCAAGGCCAAATAGCTCTTGAGTGGAACAACTAGTTACTTTCTAAGTATTTTTGATAGAATCATTTCAGAGCTGGATATGCGCACCAAAGCCCCAATTCCACCTTGTGCTGGAGGGCAGGAAGGCCGAAGAATTCGCTTATCTAGTTTCACAGCTCCATTATTCCACGCAAATTAGTGGGTTACTTTCTGTTGGAGCCATCTCCAGTAACCCTTATTAAACCTACTTTAATTTAGTCTTAAACTCTGCAGTTACACAGCCTGCAATGCAGGTATAATAACCGGAAAATCGACATATATGGAAAGGAACTGCCTTCCTGCAACTGACCCAGCCCGCCAAATGCTGCTAGAGAAAAATGTGAATTGCCAGTAGTTGGACAGCTGAAAGAAAGCAAGTTTTAAAACTAGCCTGGAAACAAAATCTTTGAAGAGTAATTCAGTCGCACGGCTTGGAAGATTCTCCTCCTTCCCTTCTCCCCTAATGGCACCTCTGGATTTCTCACACACAGAAGCTGGCACCCATGCCAGTGATCACTGCGACTCTTTCAGGCACTATCAAATCAGCCTTAGTGTGGCTCCCAACCAACAGCACTACCTGGGAATCCTCTTATAACTGGAGGGTCATCAAGATCTTCACAAAAGATCAATATATTCATACCCAAAGTCAATTAGAGAAAAAATAATAATAATCTCTTCCTAGAAGGGAAGCCACCACATCCATCCCAAGTGGCATCAGGGACTGTCCATCTTCAGGATCCTTTCAGGAGATTCTACCCAATTCAGTTTGAAATGGAATTAGGCAGTTGTCTTTCCGAGGTCAAGCCTGTTCAGAACGCAGGAACAGGGGTGCTGGGCTGGCTGCCCCTGAGCTGTTCCTGGGAGGCCTTTCCTTGCTCTGCCCTCTTGGCCCAGCCTGGTCCTGAAGCAGCTGTGTCAGTCTTCTTCAGCTGTCTTGAACATGAGGATGGCATTGTATATTTTCAGTGCAGGCCCCAGTTTGATGCTAAGAATTTTAACAATGTCTGACTGGTTCAAGAGAAGGAAAGCTTCACCATCAATCTGCTGGTGGATGGAAACAGAAAAACTAAGTCAGTGAGACGGCTGCCACAATCCAGCTTCTGTGCACAAAGTAAAGTAGCTTTCCCTAACCCAAAGTTTTCTAGATGTTGGACTACAACCCCCAGCATTCCTAGATAGCCATGCTGGGTGCTGGGCACTGTAATCTACCTCTGAAAGGCACCATGTTGGTGATGGCCATAATAAAGGAAAGTAACTGAAACTGATAATTAATAGCCCAGTTAGTAACATTGTTGGTGGTATATCCTTTTCCTAAAAAACATTCTTCAGCACAGGCATCCCAGGTTACAGGTGACTTCCAATTCCTGAGAATGTCCTTAAGTTCAGTCAGATAACATACAGAAAAAGCATCTAACATACTTAAGAAACACTTCCATATGCACTAGAGTGTCTTAAACAAAATACAGCGGTTTAATAATGATGATACGGTAATGATAAAGTACCTACAGGTACTGAAGAGAGAGAAAATCTGCATGTATGTGTACAGGTATAAGGTACCATTCAGATAGATAAAGAGAGCAAAAATGGTAAAAAGATTATTAAAGATCGACACTTCTTGAGAGAACTCCAAGCTGAACTTTAACTGGATGAGGATGGGACTGGTGTTGGAGCGGCTGGACTGGTGCTCTGGAGGGACAAGTTGGATAGCGCTGCTTGGGGGGCAGGTGTTGCCACCGGAGTTGTTTTCTAGTTCTGACTCTGCAGATCACTGGCTTTTCCCTCTTCCTCCTTTCCCGTCGTTCCTTCCTATTCTTCCCTTCCTCCTTCTCCTCACCACCTGGTGCGCATTCTGACTTCGCAGCTCACCTGGCGCCCACCTGCCACTCAAAGATGAGGTGGGATTTCCAGGTGTGTGTGTTCGTAAGTATGTGTTGTTCAGCAACCGGGCGTTCATGACCTGGGGACTGCCCCTATGCCTCATCCCTTTGCTGGCCACTCCTGTCTTTTCCAGAGGACACGGTTACAAACTCTGCGCTCTGAAGGGAACCTTCTATTTCAAAACATTATCCGTAATGATGGGCAGGGGCCAGAGCTCAGCAAGAGATCACATGCCCTCAATACAGAAGGACCCAGGTCCCATACCTGGCAGCACCAGCCAAACGGATCTCCAGATCCCAAAGAGCCGCCAGCCGCCAGAGGAGACAGTGCTCAGCCGGATGGACTGACCGTCATCCCAGCAGGAGGCCACTTCATACACTCCTCTGCGGCTCAAGGAGTCCTACCTCCATCGCCCACGCCCTGCTCGCTGCTTCCATGATTAGCCTTGGAAAGAGTCGGTGAAGAGGAATGCAGCAGGCTGTAGGCGTGACCGGATATCGAAGTCCTGTTGTTTTATTCTTCACCCCCTATGCATATTTATTTTCATACGGAGAAGATTTATTGCTTACAGTGAACTACTGATTGCCTCGTGATACCGCTACTTCCCTTTGCCAGCGAGTTGTGCTGTGGTTATCTTACGAATACTGCAGAAACAAGCTGTTTGTTTCTTAGCCAAAGCTACAATTCTGACATACATTTGTATGACTTGTAACAGTGTAAGTACAGCAGGATAACCTCTTCACACGCTTTCCTTTAACACCCAAGTTGGTAACAATTACACAACCAATTTAAAAGCTGATGTTATGTGATTGGGTTGGGTTGAGCCAGGCCAAGTTGTTGGCTCAAGTTTCCATCAGTATATGGAAATTCATTCTGTAAGAACTTATATAAATATTAATAAAATACCCCTATGATCATTGTTCAATATAGACATGCAGTGGCAATCTACTGCAGCTGAAGGTCAAGAGCTTAATGCCCCCAGAATGATAGCTTATGCAAATGTATTTAAAGAGGATTATCTCTTTGCCTGGATCGATGAAGGGGTTCTGGTGTGCATTTAAGAGCTGGAAGCTGGCAAACAGTTAAGTAGGATGCTCCTTTCACTAGTCAGGGCAGCTGGGCAGCAAAGGTCCTAATCTAGAAGTCCAAGCTTTTGTGTCATTAACCTTCAGTAAGTCTCCAAATCCTTCTGTCTCTTGGTTTCTAGAACAGGTGAGAGGGTACAGAAAGATCTTTCCAAGAGGGCTGCGAAACACTAAGCTGTTCTTTACTTTTTAAAGAACTCAAAGCGGCTGCATCCTCTTCCTGCTGTTTTTCATCTTACCCCCACAACAACAACCCTGTGAGGTAGGTTGGGCTGAGAGTCTGGGACTGGCTCAAAGTCAACCAGTTGGCTCTATGGCCGAGCGGGGACTTGAACCCGGATCGCCTGAGTCCCAGTCCCACACCTGAACCACTACACCACACTGGCTCGCAATGTGGACAAACAGTGCTCCTCTGGAACATTAGATCTGCGCAAAATATATGTATGCAAATATTTGCACATACTGCACATCCCACACTATGGGTGGAACAGTAACAGTCACGACAGACACTGAACCCTGAGTGTTTCGGGGTCTGATTGCCACTGGGCTCTCAAAGATGCTGGCGCTGCAGTTTACCTGCAACGCACATCTAGAACTGTGCTTTATTCTGCTGCACCAGGTTCCGGCTAAACATCAGGAAGACCTTCCTGTCTGATAGAGTGCTATGGCAATGGCGCCATGATCAGGGGGGTTGTAGGCTCTCCCACACTGGAGGCATTCTGGGTGCAACTGGACAGCCCTCTGAGAGGGATGGTTTAACTGGGAGTCCAGCACTGAGCAGGGGCTGGCCTCTCTGGCCCCTCCCCACTCCACTATTCATGATTCTAAATGTTGTAAATGTTAAGGACTAGGGCCATAAAGCATGCAATTCCTAAAACATTTTATTACTGAGTTCTTTCTACTGAAAGAATTTTACAGAATGTCAGTAAAAGCCTTATGGGAAGCTGATTCTTGCTTTGCACCACGAAAAGCTAAGTAAGTCAAGAGCATTTCTCCAGTCCTACCCAACGTACAGTATAACTGCTGTAGTATTTTTAGGCCACTTAAAAATAACCCATTCCTTAAATATAGCCTGGCCCATTCCCATGGACTTCTTGAAGATAATAACATTATGATAAGTGTTCTTTTTATAATGGCCTAGTGCAGGTTGCGAAGGAAAGAGCACTGAAGTTACATATCAACAGAAAAAAGATGTTATAATTCGTGGTCATACATGACCCTCCATGGCACTTAAGGCATGGAAAAATTTACTAGTGGAATTTTTTTTCTTGTTCACTTTGTAAACACACTGAATAGTTTTCTTCTGCTTCCACAGATGGTAATAATTGCTGAGAAGTTAAATTGGGTTTTATGGACTATGTTCACCATAGTAATTCTTGGTAATGATCAAACTTTAGTAGGAAGGCAGGGAAGAAATGTGCATACAAGATGAAAACCTCACATTTCCCAGGGAACGGGCTCAGTCTATCAAATATACTTTCTTCTGAAGAGGGAAAGACGGAGGACAGCTTGGATCGTGGCTTGCTTGAAGGAAAACACTGTGAAGTGGCCATTCGTTTGTATGTTTAAATTTTTAAATATTAAGCAGGAATGAAACTGTTCCAAGAGTGACTTGTAAGGGGTCACATCAATGCCTAGTACTGCAACGAATATGATGGTTTAGGTAATACTTAACTATATGTCTGTGTAACCTGTCTATGTATATATGTGAAACCTATAGGTACACTTATGGATTTTAAATGTGGTTTTACAGAGCAGGAGGAACATGTGATTTACTGGTGATGGACTCATAAAAGAGAAGGTGAACTACAAAAGTATGAGAGTGTTCGAGTGAAGGGAGGTGTATAGCAGGAGGCCACGTTGAATTCCATAGGTACTGGAAAGGATCACCTGATAAGAGTGATTTGAGCACCGGTGAAGTAATATGGATCCTACTGGAAGATGCAGAGTGAATAAAATGTTAATGAATCAACTTCGTAGCTTTTGAAGGCCAGCTCTACATGGATAAGGAATACTAACTTAGTTTTTTACTTGTTCCTTATAATGTTGAAACATTATAAAAGCTCCCACTTTGAAAAGTGTTTGGATGGCCCAGTAGAATAATTCATTTTTACCTCTTCCACCTCTCAAATGCAAATCAATCAAAACGGTTGAGGGAATCCGGTATGCTACACCAACTAGCTAGGATAAAGATTAAATATTACCCAAAGTAATATTCATATTAATAGAGCAATATTCCATACAAGGCAGGTTGCATATATTCTGTGACTCCGCATGAGTCACAAAGAGAAAAAGAGACAGAGAACAGCTTCCTGCGAATCTCCATTTTCATTTTTTAAAAGAAGTGAAACAAGTTTCTAAACCTTATTCTTCAAAGATAGGTTTAGAGGTTTACAGGCAATGGATCATAAAATTTCTGAAGTTCATCTGGTAGCTAAATAAGATTTCCAATGGTCAGGAGCAGGACCTCAATGCTCTATACAATATCTCCCTCCAATGGAATGAACGCAGAACTGTACCAAGAACAAGAGTATGCTAACCTGCTCAGAAGGCATAATGGGACTTCCCTTGGAGCTGAATGCAGCTTACGTTTCTGCGTGGTTTCGAATGTTTGTTTTGCACTCACTCTAAAGGCCACCCTTGCATCCCACAGGAACAGACAGTAAGGAGCTGTAGCCTGCTGTTAGCATTACACAGAAAGGATCCACTTACCTCTTGCCGGAAGAGTGCCGCCTGATCCTTGCAACCAGGTAGACGCTGAACAAAGCCAACCACCTAAACAATGCATTACAGAAAAATCAAAGAGGCAATCAGCAACCCATCAAGGAAAACAGTGTCTAAAGAAAACAAATGTGTCCTTCTACTTAGACAACAGTTTTTACACATTTGAACAAAATATCCTCAATGTAAGGTTCTTCTTTCCTTGTGGTAGGTAGTACTTTACGATAGCAACTGTAAATACCTACTTTTTCACTGACACAAAGTTTGAAAGAGGCATGTGTAGCTTTACTGCAAGACAGGTGAGAAGCAAGAACTGTAGCATTGAAGAAAAGGAGGCCTTGGCAAGGCCAGCTCAAACTATGCAAGGTGTTTGACTGCTACTTTGGGGCTGTACACAGTCCAACAGCGATACTTCTGGGTCCCTTGCTTGGTCACAGGAAATGTTGGGGGCACTTGTCTTGGGTTGTAAGTGCTTGTAGTAATGACAATTCAGGCTGGCTGTGGGACAACGAGGTATATAGCAAGGAGGGGTTTAGAAAGAATACATTTGAGCCTGAGAAGCAACTAAGCCAGGACTAACTGGCCTCGTCTACACATGCAGAATGAGGTAGGAGCGCTGAATGTATCATTTCAATTTGCAGATGGAAGGTATATGGCCCTTTTGAATGCTCCCCCATGCAAAACAAAAAACTCCATGTAAATAACATAAATATATACCATTCAAGGAAGAAAGCTTTTAACTCGATATCCAATTTGGTTTGCTAGTTTTCCACCTGCAGGGAGCATTCTACATTTTATTTATTTATTTTTCAATTTATATCCTGCCTTTTTCCTACAAAGGGCTCAAGGCAGCTTACATCATTCTCCTCCTCCATCTTATCCCCACAACAACAACCCTGTGAGGTATGTCAGGCTGAGAGTCTGCGACTGGCCCAGAGTCACCCAGTTGGCTCCATGGCTGAGCGGGGACTCGAACCCAGATCGCCTGAGTCCCAGTCCCGTGCTCTAATCCACTGCACCACACTGGCTCTCCATGCTCTACATGGGGCATATCTAAACAAGTGTTCATGAACAGGGGTGGTGGGGAGTTCCTCTCCTGAAGAAGCCACCATCTCTGGATTTCCAGCTTTTATTAGAAACTGAATCAAGTCTCTACCCCTTGTACAACTCAAGACAGGAGGCAAAAATGCGATTCTGCCAATTCGTTTTGTGAGAAATTGGCCTGCTTCCATTTTTCCATTATAGCTAATTAAAGAATAGGTGATTGATACACCTATTGTCTGGCAAAGGGGCCTCCTGGTTAATATTAAGCCATTTTAATGAAAAAGTAATTGCTACTTCACAGAAAACAATCCACAAACCCAGGACTGTAGTGCAGCTGTGATCAGGCAGTATTGTGACTGTCCAAAAATGAAAAGGCAGCAGCAAAGAACTTCCATGATCTTTCAAACAGTTGTAGGAAAAAATATGATTTCCCCCTGAGTTTGTTAACATTAAAAGAGATTGCAGCTTGCCCATAAAGTTAAATCCATCAATAATGCATCAGTACTGCAAGAGTAAGGCTCCAGCTAAGAGAATACTCCCTTCAGGGGAATACAGTGGACTGATCCTTGGGGGGGGGGCGGGGGGGAATGCACCACGGCAGGGGCATGCTTAGGTGTGCCAGTGGGAATGGCACCACTCAGATGGGGAGAGGGGGAAATATCCAACTCTGACAGATGTGCATGTCTGCTTCAGTGTCCTGCTGTGTCAAAATTCAGGCATCCCGACCTGTGCACAGCCATGTCCGCCCCTAGCGGCACGTATCATAGGTGCGGGGGACATGTGGCCCACCAGACGCTCTGGGACTGTAGCTCCCAACGTTGCTCATCACTGGCTATGTCAGTCTGGCCTGCAGGAGCTGCAGTCCAGCAACACACACACCTTCCAGTCTGCAAAGACCTCAAATACCAAGTCTGAGAACGCCCTCTAGAAATACTGCCAGGCAGAGGAGACAGACGGATCAGTGGTCTGCCTCGGGGACCGTGTTCAATCAAACATGCAAAACTGAGGTGTAGCGGCAAATGAACCAGTGCCTGAATATCAAGGCGAGCGACCGGGTCGTGGGCGACCAGAGGCAAGATCAACAGAGGCACCAAGACCAGGGCAAAGGAATTGCAAGCAAGACAAAAGCCCAATGGAAAGTCCAAAACATAGTCATGGTGCAGCCGAGGCTACAAACCAGAGGAATCCGTGAGGACAGGACAAGGACATGGTCAGGAAGGAGCCGAGGGTTGAGAACCAGGAGGACAAGCAGAGGTGCAGGCAGCTTGGACAGGTTCACGGGGCAGGAGATGCAGCACAGCAGGATACCCGAGACAGCACGAGCCAGATGCGGCAAAGGCCAGGCAAGAGGCAGGACCGGAACCAAGAAGCCCTGCATTACTGAGGCAACATGGAGGCAGGACAGGCCAGGCAAGAGGCAGGCGCAACAGCAAGCAACTCAACCTGTGCTGCTGAGGCAACCTGGCCAGGCAGGAGACACAGCAGAAAGGCCGGGTAGGATGCAGGCATGGCAGCAAGCAGGGGCACCCAAGGCAGTCACCAGGAGCAGGTGCTGGACAGACAGGAGGAGCTAAGTTGCTGAGGCCAGCTCTTGGGCAGCTCTTCCTCCAGGAGTCCTGGCTGGGGCTTGCCAATAGACCGAGAGTTTCAGCAGGGCCTGGGACTGATTCTGCAAATTTTGGGGTGGTTGCTCTGGTTCTGGCCATCAGAGCAGCCCAGATCCTGAAACCAAGGTTCCCAGATCCTGAAACCAAGATGATCTGCTCTTCAGTGCAATTGTTAGGAGCTCAGAGATATGTTCCTTTCTTTAACTAACCACAGCTTAGCATTACAGAGTCTTGCAGAAGCTGTTCATCATCTTTTAACGTTCCCCCATTTCATTGTGTTATAACCTGGAACTTCAGTTTATTTTTCTTTCTTTAACTTGATGCCACAATTAAAAAAAAAAATCTTGTATCTTCACAGTTTTGAGCTTCATGTGTATATCAAGTCATAACAATGACAAGTCTAGTCAACTTCCTGGTTGTAACACAACAAAACAGCGAGAAATCAAAGGTGTGAATATTTCAGTGAGAGCCTATGCAGCTCAGTCTAGACAAATTGTAGTTAGTTTTGAGTAACTTTCCCCAGCCCAGTGCCCTCTAGATGCATTGGAGGACAATTCTCATTATCCCCGGTCAGCATGGCCACTGTATTTTATGACACTGGCTTGTTTTAATAAGTTAAGGTTGAGTTTGAGTTCAGACGGAATGCTAAGTGATTGTTAACTGAAAATGGAAGCGAAAGCATTTGCTCTCCCGCTCCTGGCCATGACAGGCTGTGGGAGATGCACAATATCATCTTGGTCGTGTAATGCTAAACCAGAATTGACCATTATGTCCAAAAGGAGCCAGCAGAAGATGGAATTATATGCTCCTGAGGATGACAACAACGATGACGACAGAAGCAGCAGCAGACTCTTGTTTTTCTGCCAGTCACATAAAACTTCACTCAAAAAATTTTGCAACGCCAGCCTCATGATGTTGACATCAGATTATCAATCCTTTTCAAACTGTCAAGCATAAAACCATTTTATGAATACAAAACCTCTCTCAAAACAGCATAACCACTTAAAATTGTACACAGTCTAAGTTTCCAAAACAGGGCTAAGTGACAGCCCGAATTCAATCCACTCACACAGCCACTCTCGGGAACTCAAGCAGAATCACGCCTGTCTCAGTCTGCACCGTGGCATTTCTGACTCCAGAAACAATTAATGCAAAAGCTGATGTGTAGCACACAACCACAGATATGCTGTGTCACGCAACCCCTTGACTGTGGAGGAAACGACCTGCCTTGCACAATGTATGATTTGACTGTGAAATCACAGCCATGGCAGAATCAGTCCCTCCGTAAGAAATCCTGCCACACTGTGAGGATGTTTGGTGACACAGCCAGGCAGGACAACTGCAAGGTAAAGTGAGTCAGCAGCAGAAGCACGCACGGAAAAGGCTCTTGCCGGGAGAGGCCCCAAAGGGGGCTGCTGGTAAAGGTGGTGCGGCTGCACAGAGGGATGGATGCACATCTCTCTGTTCCACGACTTGAGCCAAACTACAGGCTGAGCTGCTCCCGCCCCCAGACTGAGCCACAGCAGTGAGAGAGAAGCATCACTACCGCGGAGTTAAAATTATTTGCAATTAGACAGGAAAAAGCCGGTAGTGCAACTTACCTCTTCCACACTCCATTTGGCCACATTCTTGGCAGTGAGGCCTGAGACCTCTGGCAGCAGCTTGCAGTGTTGTTCCCAGCAGAGATGAAGGCGATGGGTAGGGTTTGTGGAGAGAGAAGGCATGAAGACAGACTGGTGGAGGGCCTGCTGCAGAGCAAATGCTGTGTCTGGGGAGGAGGGGGATGAAAAAGAAGACAGATGACTCAGCCCTTGGTCAGGTGCAGTTTGGAAGTGCAGGCAGTTTATTCCCTGGACTGCCTCTGCTCAGAGCATCCCTCCCAGAAAAGGTACAGAAGAAAGCCCTGTGTTGTTATAACTGGTCTTGGGGAAGAGATGTCCCAATGCTAATATATATATAGGAGGAGTTGCCAGCATCCTATGGCTAGGGAGGAGGTGGCTGGGTAACTGCATCTTCGGGTGGAAATTAATGGCACCATTCCAGCTTACAGTCTGTTTCCCAGCTCACTAAGAGCACTCTGCATGCCAGATAACGACAGACACTGGCCCCCACCCAGGAGAAAAGACTCCAAGGTCAGGAAGGCCGGCAGCTTCTTCCAGATGTTTGTATCTGCTGCCATTTGTCAAACAACTGAGGCATTAAGAAAAAGAAAACATCTCTTTGCATCCCATCTCTGCCCCCTCGACATATACTGGATCATTTGGTTATTGCTGTGTCATGGTGCAGTCAGAAGCTGTTGCTGGCTATCTAGAACTGGACCCGCTGATCAATATAGCATAGCAAAATGCCTTAGGTTAACAACATGGGCTAATATTGTTTGCTGCGCCCCTGCTCCACCAGGACACACAGACAAAAAGAAGGTGATCTCTAAACATGGGGACCTTTCTAGTTATGATCACAGGAAAGGCCTCTAGCGACACCTAGTGCATAAAAGGAAGAACGAGACTTTACTGCTTGCAGGAGGGCAAGGAATGAACAACCGGAGAAATACACAAGTTCATTCCTAGTTCCCCTACTTCAATAATGACGCAGGGTTACTCAAGAGTAACCCTAATATCTACACACATCTGAACTGGGAAATAAGCCTTCAGAGACAAGTGAACTGATTCTTCAGTTTGCTGCACTTAACATATGTTACATAATTTAAATACAAACCTGAGATCTTCCAACAGAAAGCAACAACCAATGTTTTAACAAGGCGTATTTTATACTGTATTTTTAAGGTGCTGTTGTAAACCACCCAGAGAACTTCAGCTACTGGCCAATACAGAAAATAAATAAATATCTCAGCATGCTTATGGGGCAAGAACATGATTTATAGGAGCTATGTCAAAAAATCTCAAAGTGTGATCTCAATAAGGAACATTAATCTGAAGCCAGCGGATTGATGATCAGTGGCCTCCAGAAGCAAGAGATCTCCAGGAGAATTTAAGGTATTGTCAAGGGAGAAGGTGTGTGGCCTTATTATATCTTAGAAAGGCTGCATCAGGTTGCTCTTCAGGGTGATTGGAGCCCCAAAGAGGGCCTTTCGAAGGGTAGAGTTGCATTGCAACATTTTGTAGTGGATCCCATTTGTCTTACTAAACACAAACATGTAGGATTTTTCTGAATTAAACAGATCGATTGCAGACCTGAAGACAACTTTCTCTGGGAATCACAACTGATATACTAATGGTCAGCAGAAACAGAAAGAACATTCACTTTCAAATGGATCTCCAGAAAGTAATCTGATCTCGATACAATAACCTAAAATTCATTTTTATTTATGTAGAGGACTTCTATGCTACCCCATTCGCCGAAGCCTTGGGGTGGCTCACAATCATTTTGATGTTACTGTAAGAGGAGAGAAAAGAAATCTAAACTGCAGCTAACATACCTATGAGTAGGTTTTAGCTTATCACAGAAAAACCCAATTCAGCACATGCTCAAAAACACAAAGCTAAGAAATCTACATTTCAGTTAGGACAAACATAAATCAACTAACCTCTTTCAACAGCATCCTGCTTCACTAGCTGAAGCTTTATATAGCTATGTGAACAACCATTCCTGAAAAGCATAAATTTGGGTGTTATGGAAACTAAGTACACATGAGAGAAAAAATTGCTTCTCCAAAGAGAATTTTAGTCATGAAGTAGAATCATTATTTTTAAAAATGAGGATCAGGGTATCTTAAAGACTAACAGATTTATTGTGGCATAAGTGTCTGTGTAATACAGCTACTTGCTTGTATTTATCCAGTATTTGATGAAGTGGGGCTTATCAGCCAAAAAACTAATGCCGCAATGCATGTATTAGTCTTTAAGAAGGCATGAGACTCTAAACTGTGCACTGCAACAGCTTCACTTATGTAATACCCCTGAAACCAAAAAGGTGAGATTCGGTTTCAGTTTGGGGTCCTAAGTTCAGGATCATGCAAGTTAAGACAGTAAATTTAAAAGAAATTATCTGGGGATAGATTCCACAAATTTGAACTGTTCTTCAACCCATTCAGATATAACACATTGAAAAAAACAATCCTGCAGCTCCTAAATATCTGAGGGGACACAGGATGCTGGGGATTTCCCCCCACCACCAAGCAGCAGTCGCTGCAGAAAGCTCCACAGTGGTTCTTCCCCTAAGGTTGGAGCTTGGACTCTGGAAGAAGAAAGCGGGGAAGCCATGAGTGGGCTGAGGGAATGGATAAGCTGGATTCACAAGCCTCTCTGTTCCTGTCCTCATCCAGAGGAAAGTGGGTGAGCTAGAGGACAGAAAGGCTAAAAAAAAAAAAGCTTCTGTCCTTCTTCCCAACCCTGCAAAGCTTTGGATGGAGAACTCCAAGATGGAAGCACTCCATCATCCTGTACCTGTCCTATAGGAGTTCATCCTTCATGAACTCCAAGAATTTAATTCTCGGTAATCATTGTCAAAGCTGTAATGGCCATCTATGCCCCCTGTTCTTTCTTTACTTTCAATTTAGCGACTGGAAGTGAGAAATAGTTTGACACACTGAACAGCTTGCTTACCCCTTTGCTCTGATTTTGGCAACAGCAGATGATTCCCCTTCAGTCCAGCACTTCTCCTGGCTGGTCTCTGACTGCTCAGACAGACTGTGTACACTGCTTCGCCCCGACCTCTCCCCGTCATGTGTGGATGACCTCCTACTAAAAAAATAATAATACCAGTATCCATACAGGCCACTTCCAAACATTCTCTCTCCCTTCTCTCTCCAACTCATCCCTCAGCCGTTCACCATCCCCCAGTTGCTCAGCGCTGTATTTCCTGCTGCCCGCCCAAGCCCCAACCATGCGACCCCCTGCCCGCCCCCGTACCACAGCTGCACCCCCTGCTGTTTTTCTTGGCCCCAAAGACACTGCACAGCCCTCACCCACACTGTCTTCCGCCCACCGCTGGGAACTTGACAGCTGCCTGAGGGAAGGAGTTTCTTTTTTCTTATTTCCGGGGCGGCTGGATATTCTCCAAAATGGAGTGCTGGCCCAGGCGCCGGCAACCTCGCTATCCTGATTTCCCCAGGGAACCTCTGGGGTAATTAAAGTAGTATGGTGGCTGGGGCAGGGGCTGCACTGTGGCAGCGTTCAGTGACTGTCATGCTCGGGAAGCCCAGGCTAAATCATTCATCCATTGGATTTATATCCTGCCTTTTTTTTTTTACAACAATCTCAAAGCAGTTTACATAATTCTCTTCTTACTCTGAATCTTCTCTCCACAACAACAACCCTGTGAGGTAGGTTGGGCTGAGAGTGTGTAAACTGGCCCAAGTCACCCAGTTGGCTCCATGGCTTAGTCTGACTCCCCTACCCTTAACCACTGCACCACACCGGCTCTCTCTCTTTTTATGTGCATTATAATATATTGACATTTTGCCAAACTTTAGAGCAGGTAAGAAAGAAAAGCAGGCAAGTGGAAAAATATACTGCAGCGTCACCACTAGCACAAATTAAATTGAATAAAGGAGCTGAAGGTTATTCAAGAGATCTAAAATGATACCTAGACTGTGGAGAGTCTTCCGGCAGGCCCACAAGTGAGGCAGAAGTCTCAGGCTTCTTGGGCCTTGGTACACTGGCACTGGGCGAAGGTTTTTCTCCACCGAGGCGATCTGGTAAGGAACTCTCGCGGTTGCGATTGATTTCAGAGTACGGGCAGCCAACTAACCTGCACCAAAAGCAGAAAAATATTTCCCCAAGAAAAATATTATGCAATCTAATCGTTCCAACTTTCTCCTCGGAGGGCTATACTAACTAAGCATGCGAGCATAATAGAGCAACTCTGCAGGGGCAATGAATGGCAGGGATGTGGGCTAAAGGCTTTGGGAAGCAAATCAAATGTTCAGCAGCCACAGGCTCAAACAGAAATTTTGCAGAGAGAGGCAGTTTCCAGGCAAAGAAGGAAGGAAGGAAGTCAGCTGCCAAAATGACTTTGCTGTTCAGTAACAGTGAGTACTGAATGAGCTTGGAGCAATGCAAAGGAAAGCAAATTCTTGCACGTAATTCAGCAAAAGGGGAAAGTAAAGAAAGCTAGCTAAACGCAGGGTGTACGGAGGGTCAACAAGAATAATTGAATGGAAGGGACTGGGCATTAAAAAGGAAGCAATAAAGCAGTCGGGGATATGAACTGGCCCATAACTGCAAGATAAATTCTAGCCATCATCTCTGGGAGGGTATTTGTTTTGCTACCTTCTTGAAAACCAAGAACAGGAGTTCCATTTCCATAAAGAGAGAATCCAAGATTCTCAAGGCCCATCTACATGTCAGATTAGCTGACACCACCTGCTCAGGCTATCATGGTCAAGGTACTACTGGTCCTAGAAGATCTGAATTGGTGAGCAGTTTTTATTTTCCTAGACCAATTCAAAATGCTGGTTTTGACTTCCGCAGTCTTGCCATTCTTTCCATATATTCCCATCTCCAATATTGGTAGAGATGAAATGTCTCTCCACCTAAAGTGTAGCAGGTAACTAAAATTTAGAACATTTGGTGGTGGTATGTCTACCATGGCACCCTGTGCTCAGACAGGTTCACTTAGAATGTTTCCTACTTGCTTTCAGGCGGCAGCTGAAAATCTTTTTTTTTTAAATTCAAAGAGCTTGTAATTTAATTTAACTCAGAAAGTTTTGCCATGGAACAGTACATAAATGGAACAGATATAGAAAATCAGTAATTCAGCACTACATACATGCACCATTTCAGGCATGTTTGCTCCACCACATAAAGAGCTTCCGGTGCCCTGAGCTACTACATGAAAGCCCGTTGACCTTCCCATGGGGAAACAATCTAATAGGCAACCCACCACCAGGACTCTGGAGTAGTCCAAAAGAGGGAGCAGCACCTTAGAGGCCTTTCAGAATCTAGCCACTTATAAGGAAGAGGCCATGTGTTTCCCTTTATAGTGAGGTGACAACTAAGTAGAAACCAAGATGCGAGGCAAGGAATCCATGTCAACTGTGCATCAAATTTCTCCACCTGGCCTTTGCGATATGCATCCCCAAGAAACTCACTCTTCAGCCCGCCATTTTATCTGCGAACATCCCACAACACCGCTTTGTTTCAGCCCATTTTAGAACGGCGCCAGAGAGAGTTGTGTATGCACACAACCAATAGCCTTAGTTCCTTGTCGCCAGAAAATGCGTCAAGCAACGTCACACACGCAAAGTCCTCACATTTGCAGGTACAAGGCCACACACAGCAAGGACTTGTTCCTGATTCACTGTTTGTTCTGACTGAGGACAAGCAGGGTGGGGAAAGGATGCATGTGCCTTTTCCATGTCAGGCAACCTCCTTGAAAGGTATGCGCTCATCCACATCCGCTGATGAACAACATGAAGATCTTCAACGCTCACGAGTGAATTAACAGCCTACCAAATATTTGAATACTCTAAAGACACAATCTTTCGCATATTTAGAAAAAACCAGCATACCTGGCTGGAGGGACACTGAGAAGAGGAGAACTTTTTTTCTGTCTAAACAAGTACAGAATTGTGCCCTAAGAGCACTGGTACACCCTAAATCTACAAAGAGCAGAAACACCTCCTTGCCTGAAAGAGAGAGTCCTGCCTTTGTCTCTCAGCTGACTCATTTAAAAATGTTTAAAATCTCATGGTGTTTATTGCAGGAGGAACAATTTAAGAATCGACTGCTTCTCTGCTAATAAACACTGGAATATTAAAACAAATAAAATAGCAAGGCCAGACAATTCCCCTCCTAAGACAGAGAGCTATTCTGAACTGTTTCAGCTCGCCAGGGTTTTTAGTCTTTCCCAAAGGACAGGGAAAGGTGAGAGATATTTTTCTGAGGCAGCTTTCTCTAACTGTTGGCACAGATGTGAGAGCAGACCTTGGGATTCTAAAAAAACAGAACCAGATTTTCCCCACGTTTCGATCAAACTTTTCTACAGTGCCAATATTAAGTGTGTTGGTGAAGCCAAGTAGAAGGCACAAGAGGGAGCTACAAGCCAGTGTTTTAGAGCTAAAACATTCATATTCACAACTCACCAAAGCTGCATAATTTCAAAAACAGGTGCTAGACAACTGATACACAAATCCCTTACAACCCAGTGGGAATTACTCCGTAATTCTGAGACTCACGTACGTGTAATGCGTTCCATATCTGGGTCCTCTAACATGACCTAATCCTTGGCAAGCAGGAGTAGGGCATGCCTGGCTTACTGCCCCTGATGGATCTGCAGTCCCTAGAAAAACAAAATTTGTTCAGCAGTACTCTTATTTCAAAGCCTTATTTCAGAAGTTAGGCATGGAAAGCAGACATCTGACTTCTCCTCTCACCTGGTGGAAGCTGTAAGGAATGTCCAGTTTTCGCACACCAGCCCATGGGATGAATGTCTGGACTATCCGCATCAACCCAGAAGTCAAAGATATTGTCCCATCCATCAAAATGTATCTAAACAAGAGGCAAGGCATATGGAAAAAAGAAAAATTGAGGGGGCAAGTAAACTTTCCTTGTTTACTTGCTAAGAGGCATTTAAACTTGCAGAATTCCTCAGGAACGAGGGCAAGGGCTAAAATATTTGATCGTGCTTATGAAGAAAAGTTGAGTGAAATGCGGCTGAATGAAACAAAGAATCCTAGTTGCATAGGACACCACAGGAAGATAGGAGGCTGCCTTATCCCAAAACTGTGACTTCATCTAGCTCGGCACTCTCTACACTGACTAGAGGCAGATCTCCAGGGTTTAAGACAGATATCTTTCCCAGCAACACTCAGAGATCTTGGGAACTGATCTTGGGATCTTCTGCTTTCTGAGTAGGTGTTTTGCCAGTGAGCTATGGCCCGCTGGCAACAGATACAGCCCACGCCCAAATTGTGGACCCATACATTCCTTCAAGAAAACAAGCTTGCAAAGATCCTGATGAACAACCATGTGGATATTTTAGGGAAAGTGCCTGGACAAGAACTTTCAGGGAAAGTTCCTGTGGATGAAACGTTATGACAGGGAATGCCCTCAGTGTCATCATTAACATGGCACTTCATGATCACTTAGCTCTGATCTATGCCCACATCTACACCTGAGTTAAAGTTGTAAAGATTGGTTGTTGCTGCCTTCAGTGCATTCATTTCTGAGCAGAGAACATGGCCTTCAAACCATATGGGCAAATTTGGGGGAATGTTACAGGCACAAGAAAAGCTAGTGATTTTCTGTGCTTTCCTGATTAAATAAAACTACCTCTGTCTTAAGATACTTAGAAACTGTCTCTGGAGCCAAAATGTGCTCCATCTGGTTAGGGTTAGGGTTGGGGTAAGCATGCTGGCTTCTGCACAGAACAATGCTAAGGACAACCCCACACCACATCCGAGCTTCAGCTTTCGGCTGGAAAGTGGAGCAAGAAACTCCCTTTTAGCCATTGTGCTTCATTTTGAAGGAACACTGTGAGATACAAGAGTTGACTTCTTGAGGAAGTTGCAGGGTCCTGGCAAGCACATTTTGGTTCCTGCCTCCTAACTGAGCAGACCAGAGGAAGTTGCCCCAGCGGGTCTAGGGACTCGGGGACACAAGCAGTCAAGCTCCCAGGAAGTGAGTGAACAAGGAGAGCAAAGAGGAGTTTAGCAGCAGAGTTCAGCAGGAGAAGTTCCTAACTTTTTTCCTTCCTTCTCCCCACAGGTTTTCCCCCTTTTTGTTTTCGCCTTTGAAACTCACTCCCATTTACTGTTGGTTTCGATATCAACTGAAAGTGTTGCCTTGAATTTCAACATACATATATCCATAATTCAAAACATACGACTTCAACTAGAAGCACCTTCTTGACAAAGATAAAGAATGGAATAACTGGGTATACACAGCTACTGAGAACTGTGCAGCTGTGTAGCCGATAGGATTATCAATGGTTATTATTTAAACTACAACAAAAGCCCACTGCAGACTCTTATAGGCTTGGAACAAGCAACGTGATGCTGTTGGTTTCCTGGCCCCTTCTTGCCTTCTGCCACAGCATCTTGCATTAGGTACACTCAGAGACAGATTACTGGTTTACGGATCGTCACGTTGACCCAGGTACTAACATTCTAAATCTAATCCTGCTAAATAAGAACTGAGCAAGCGACTAAAGAACACTGGGGAAAGCTCACGGCTGGCTCACCTGTTCTGTGAACTTACAGAGATTGTCAAACTTTCTAGATGACAAACCCCCATTTTATACAATAAGCTGAATGCCAAGTTAATGTGTTTATGTGCTTATTAAAGAATAGCAAGTAGCGACATTCAGCATAAAAATCTGAGCTTGGCCTGATGTTTAGCTTTCCTTTGCAAGTCACCCTCAAGGTATGAGAGTGCTAACATGGCAAATTTATGTTAGATTCATGCAGAGAAATTGCTCAAGGGGAAGAAAAATCAATTTGGCAAATGTCATTCCACTATAAGAGACATTACAATAGCATCCAGCAATACTGAGCAGAAGTCTTGCAATTCATACAGAGAGAGAAAGATCAACCTGCTATATTACTCCTGAAGGTGCTTGTTTTTCAGAAAGCTTAAATGTAATGCACTATGTTTCAGCTATCAGATCTCATTTTCATCTTTCCAGTCGGGAGTAATTTTAGAGCAACACTGTGACTTGTTTGAAAGGAGAACATACCTTGACACGATGGTCATCTTTATCGACTATCGTTGCCACTCTAATGAGCATGGGGTTTCTTTTATCTACAGCTTCTAGTTTCATGTTAGCTTGGAATCCATGAGCTGGGCGCTGTAAGATAATGTATAGTAAATGCAGGGAAACATTGCTGAGCATTAAAGGCCTGGCTTTGGTGTAATGCTAAACCATAGTTTAGGGTTTACAAAATGAATCTGCTCAAGTCGCCCACAGAGGAGCAGACTGGAAGCATCTGCTACTTATTTTAAACTAGCTACAGTTTATTGTGATGTTTGAACTGGGCCAAACTGTGGTTCGTTTAACTTATAGTTCAGAATATGGTATGAACTAACTACAGCTAGATGTAACAGCAAAACGTTGGTAATTTAATCCCAGAAGAGTTTCTGATCTTCTCCAGAAGAGGATAAGGAGACTGGCCTGTTCCTGTAATACAGGGTTGTGCAATTTGTGACGGGCAGGTCCCATCAGCCTGAGCTAGCATAGCCAACAGTGAGAGATCGATTAGAGTTATAGGCCAAAACATCAGGAGGACCACAGGTAGCCCACCTCTGTCGTAACACTAAATTATAGTTCAGCAGGCTAATACACATTCACAGACTCACACCCTTCCATTTCAAACTAACCTATCGACACCACCACCCAGCAAGTGTGTTTAGAATTGCTGCCTCACAAATTGCATTTTAACCAACCCAAGTTTGACTTTATAAAGGCAATCAGTATAATGCATTAAAATATGGTTTAGACAGGAAAATATGTTCCAGTCATACTGGCACTAGAGCAGAACAACATGCAAGTGATGAGGTATATTTTTGACAGTAATTTCCCATTCTGGTACATCTAAAGCCATTTACTGGCATTAGATTAATTCTGGTACTTTAAAGATTTTTTAAAAATCCATATCATTATCTAGAGCATGTTTTCTAATATGCCTTGCATCCAGTTATTTAACAACCATCTCCAGCACCACCTAAAACCCAGAGCTGTACAAAAGAGCATTTGATTTTCTGATTCACCAGTATAAAAACAGAAAGGTCATTGACCAACCAGTTTAAATGCTCTTGCAGGGGCTGGCTGAGAACCAGTTTCTTCCAAGTACTTCTCCCATGAGAATGTTTTGAAATCTTTGTATTCTGCAAAGAGATTCTGAAATAACTTAAGTCTTCCGGTACAATTACAAGACATAGAAAGTGCAGATCAACCAAATAATGCATGATTAGAGAAGTGAACATGCAACAGTTTAAATGAAAAACTAAACCACTTGCTTATCAATGTAAATTTGCACAGTGCAAGTTACAAGCATAGGCTTGGTTATCATAAAATACCAAAACATGGGTTATGTCATTACATCTGAACTGGCACATGAGGGCTTGTGGTTGCCCTCCAAACTAGAATGGCGACCATACATTGATCCTGGCTGGTAATTCTAGTTTAGATGGTAGGAAGAAGCTCAGAAGTCATTGTAAAGTGTGGTTTGCGCGAAAAGGAGTGATGTGCAGGGCTTGAGGAGGGGAGGAAGCATGCCTATTCTGATCAACTCTGTTAACCACAACTGCACTTAAGAAACTTTAGCTGAGCTTCTTCAAATGCTGCCCAACACTCCATAGGATCACAGCCTGCCTGCAAATGGGCGCTACTTCTGCGATGCTCTCCTTTCTGTTCCCCCGAGTTTACATAGCACCTTGAAACAGGAGACTTTCCAAACATTTTAACTGCGACAGAACATGGTGCCTTTACAACATACCAGCTGGTGTTGTTAGGGGAGTTCCAGTTTCTTGACAATAACCAACCGGTCGAATATACGGGCTACTAGCATCACACCTGTATCAAAATACAGAGAACTATTTATAACTGTGCAGATCTTGTCTGAAATGTCTTGAATGAATGAACATGATGATAAGCCCTCTAGCTATAATTTGTAAAGAATTTTTAATCTTTAATTTCTGAGAAGACACACTAAATCCGAGGTCTTTATTTGCTGAAGTCAACTCTGAGTTTCCAAGTCACAAAGTAGAACTTTTCTCCAATTTTGGAACTAGAGGTAGGTATATATTTCCTCTCTTTCTAGTAAATGATATGAAACTGTGCAATTGAAAGTAATAGGGTAAGAGGGATGTTCCATGATGATAGCCAATTGTTTAAAAACCAGTGGGTTATCAGAGCCAAGTGGAAGACAGCCGGGAGCACTTTGGAGTCTTACATCCAGCTTTCATGATCTCTAGGGAAAAAGTTCAAAGTGAGAAAAGGCCACAATGAACCAAAATAATTTACAATCATAGCAGGGAGTATGGAGGCAACCCAACCCTCCCATGGTGTCCCCTCAGATACCTGTGGGAGGACCGGGGTGGGGGCTATGACAGAAGCAATGCTTTTCTCTAGATTTTCAGAGAGAAAAGGAAACCTGCAAGATATCAACAGGTTTAAATGTCCTTAGGATCACCGCTTCAGAAAGTTAAGAAGTGAATAAGCCCTGAGGAACTTAAATACAGAATTGGAACCTGGCCAAATACTCATTGACTCCCAGTTAGTTTATATTGAGCACTTTCTGGGCAATGTCCACACCACAAAGCACTACACCAAAGCATTTCCCCCCGTTTTCTTACCAGTAATCATAACTTTCACCCCAGTTGTCAAAGTGAATTAGCAGCCGATTATCCAACATGTCTGCAATGGTTGCTACACACATCAAGGATGGATTCTTTTTGTCAACTGCTTCTAACTTCATTCCCATTCTAAACCCAGAAGGAGTAACTGGCTGAGGACAGGAGAAATTGGAAAAATATTGTATTAGTCAGATTATTCCAATTTCAGCTCCACTAATATCCTTCCTGGTTAAGCGAACAAAATAACCATTTTTTAAGTTCACCTTACAATGGAGGCTAAATTGAATAAATTGGTAAACTTAGCATTATCTACTCTGATTGGTAGCTGCTCTGTAGGGTCTTAGGAGCACATCTTTCCCAAATCCTGAAAGACCATTTCATTTCATTTATTTCATTTCTATACCACCCAATAGTCAAAATGCTCTGGGTGGTTCACTAATTTTGCAACCCATAGAGACACCATAATAAAAATGATATTAAAAATTAGCATACAGTATTTAAAAACAGTTTAAAATAGTTAAAGTACAGTTACAATAAGATACTGGGGCCTGATCACTGGTTTTAACTGGATATGATAGGGAAAGGGTCCATGATCTTCTGTGTCAAACAAGGTGTGCTTAACCAACCAGCTCCAGGTTACATCCAAAAATTCCTTTTCTTCTACATGATCCAGTATAACATTTAAGCCACAGAACATCAAAACTATTTTTAGATTTGGATCTAAATTCAGACTTCAATGAACATTCTACTATGGCAAAAGCAAGCGGAGGAAGATTGCCCAGTTTGAAACCTCAAGGCCCTGGGCTGATTCAGGTTTTTGAAACTTATCCATGCAGAGTGGCTCCACAGATGCAGTCACATGAAAGACGTCGGACCTGGCAGTTCCCCAGAAAGATTTACTGATTCTTGGCAGCAATTTATGGGTGATAAATGGGCTTCGGCGACCATTTTGTAATGGAAAATTCAGATGAAGCATTCTTGTATTCAGGGAGACGCTAGGTCTCCTTTCCCCCCTCCTTCTCCACAAGACTTCTGTGCATGGAAGAGCTACATATGGCCTTTTAATTTACTGAAATAATAGGATTTGACACCATGGACAAGGTGTTATGCAAATGAACAAAGAAGACCACTTGACAGAGTAGAATGAGAAATAAACCAAAGCTGTTAAAAAATGTGAAGTACAGATGGGAAACATGAATGTTTTTATTGGTATGAGCAGCCACATGCTTGAACCAGATGCATGTGTCAATAGATGTTTTTAAATCAGGAACTAAGCAAGTGCTGAGTCTCCTGGGGGGGAAAAGTAAGGAAAGGTGGGCAGGTGAATAGTCACAACTCAGACAAGTTGTTTCCTTGCTTGGTTAGTTGGCTGTTGTGTGCACACAACTCTCTATGCAAAATGTTATGTGAGAAACGAAATAGGTTTTCTATTTCAGATTTGCCTATTTCTTAGATATTAGCTTCTGTTCTAAGAGTGCAACAATATCTCAGTTTAAAAAGAGCTTTAACAACATTTGATACAACTTAAAAGACTCAAAAAACCAGTATGGTCTCTTACTGTGCTCAGGGCCTTGAAAAGAGTTTTGGGAGCAGCTTGAGCTTTACAGTTCTTCAGATAAGAAGTCCAATTAAACTCTCCTTCCTTGTAACCTAGAGAGAGAGAGGGAGAGAAAGAGACTGGTAGATAAAAACACTGTTTTATACAGTGGCTGCTACATTCAGTTTGGTTTTTCAGAAACAGAAACTATGTGGGAAGAATTTGCACCTTACATGAGAGCTGCCCTTATGGAATAGGCAGGGGACTGGAAGCATCCACTTCCATTTTTTAATTAACTACAATTTATCCCTCAAGAACAAGCTTATGATCACTTGAAACTACATTTTGAAGCATCAGAATCAAACAAACCACTGATCGAAAACTGGCAAACTTCAGTCCAAACTAAGCAGAGTTCCCAGTTTGTATATGATGAGAAATAACAGTTAATTCAAACTGGGAAGTGAATGCTTCCAATCCTTTCCTTATGGCGGCATCATGAATAACAAACAGCAGGACAGAAGCACATGAACCTGGAGGTTCTCAAAGCTCATTTGCACAGCACAGCATTAGACCAGGGTTTCGATCAACACAAGGCTTATAAAGTTAATAATCTAAGGTATAAATACATGTATGTACCTTTAGGAGGAAGCAATTTGTGACCTGTTTTTTCACACCAGCCAACAGGATGGATATCTGGTGAATCAGCATTAACCCAAAAATCGTAGCACTCAGAATAACCATCAAAATGTAATCGCATTCTGTACCCTTGTACCTGAAAGCAGGAGGAAATTTAGTGTTACTGATTTTGAAAAATTAATACTGCATGTATTTATCTATTTGATTTATACTGTGCCTTTTTGCTTTTCTTTTTTTTAATAACTCGGAGTGATTTACACCATTCTCCTCTTTCTGCTCTCAGTCTTATCCCTGCTGAGAAGTACTTGGGCTGAGAGCCTATGGCTGGCCCAAAGCCATCCCACCTACCTGAACCACCCTTTCAGGTGGCCAATACATTTTTTCAAGCCTTGAAGTCATTTGACTTGTTTATTAAAATTGGCAAAATGCTGATCTCTCTTTAACAAGCATTCTCTACATTCAAGATATTTTAACTAAATGGAAATAATTTTAGGCATTATTTTGACTCACCAATCTAGAATATGCCTTATGTCTCTCTCTTCCAGCTTACTGATCCCTACCCACCCAACCACCTGCCACTCCAGGTAACATGTAATACTGTTGGTTCCATTACAAAGGCAGGCACATACCTCAGCAACAGAAAGGACACAAAATAATGATGGATGTTCAGGATCTAGACCTTCTAGCTTCATTCCAACTTTGAAACCATTTTTGTTTTGCGGAAAGGACTGAGACTGCAGCAGAAAGAATGGAGGACAAGCATTAATTTACACTCACACAAGTAATCCCTTGCTGCAATGCCTGTGGACAAAACAATTTACAAATGAACCTTCATTGTCTAGTGCATTCCTTAACTGAAAGGTAGTGCTTAATGGAAAAGATGGGCCAATATATTTATATCAGGATTAAATATACCAGTATATTTGATTGAAGAAGGCAGTATTTTGGCACAGACAACACAGTTTGACTTAGTGCAATGTCTGAACTGACACACTATGATATTTATTAGCTGTAGTCTAGAGTGATGTCTGAACTGGCAAATCACCATAATGGGCACTGTTCCACCACCAAGGCTACTTCATAATAGAGAAAAGAATGAATGTAAGAAGCTAAGTACTGAGAAGATGGAGAAATGTAATCCAACAAATAGTTGCAAACCATGAGTGCACTGTTGCAAATTTGAAATTGAAACCATGGATTTCGGTCCTGAACAACCATGCTTTTTGCACTGAGCTGCCTGTTTTTTCTAAGTATCACACTAACAAGGAGGTATGAAACTGTACTTAAGAGTCCCTTAATAACACCCAACTCTGAGGCCCTAGCTCAGGCAAGGAAACTCCAGTGAAATAACATTTTTTTACACCAATGCTTACTTCCTCTAAGAAAGTGATTTTAACAGACAGAACTGAGAAAAGTTCGGAGCTGTCATTAAAAATGGATGTGATGAACATCTTCCCAGTGCTCCACGATGCTCTGTTCCCTCCAAATATCAGCAGAATTAAGTTCAGCATCTGATGCAGTGGGTGCAGGAGTCCCGTTCTCTACGATTTGGCTTCCTGCACACAGGGAAATTTATTGCTACTTGTGCCCTCACTTGCAATGATTACTTTTAAGGAAGATAATTCTGAAAATGCCAAAAAGTCATTTGAAAGGGTAAAACTAGTTTTACACAGTCACTGTCTAAGATCTGATACTAGCTCTGAGCAATTTCATACACTTAGATACAAATTAAAACAGGAGTCTGGGACAAAATTAAATACAAGAATTAAACTGTGTCTGATGGCTAACAAGGAATGTTTACAATTAAACTCTCTTTTGTCCATACCCAGTCCAGCATTTGCCTTGTAGCATTTGCTCTCTCCTTCTCTCGTCCAACAGCTTTTCACAGTGAGAAAGCATGGTGCCAGTTGATACTCTCCTTTCTCCAAGATGTTCAGATTACAAAAACAGCAGTATTGATCCTCTCTACAAACCAGCATTACAAGCCAGGATAAAATAGTAGCTTGCACTTCTAGTTTGTAGGGAATGCTTAAACCAGTTTCTTAGTTTGGATGGCACACAGCAGAGGCCTCCAATGATGCAAGAACCGGCTCAGGTACCAGTGAAACCATTTTTGCTCCTTTCAATTGCATGGGGACAGGGAGAGAGTGAAAGCAGAGCTTGCGTGGGGGGTGGGTGGGGGAGAACAGCTGGGGGTGGGAAAGTAAGTGGTGCTAGAAGGAAAAGGAGAAAGAGATGGAAAGAAATTGGGGACAGAAGAAAGAGAAACCAGAGGGAAAATGGAGGAAGGAACGGAAGTCAGAGAGGAAAGAAAAAGAAGAGAAAGGGATAAGAGAACAAGAGAAAAGAGGAGACAGAAGGGAAGGTGGGGGAAGAAAGTTCTTTTCCTTCCTTGCATCAAATAACACATGATGTGGACAACCATGTGGATTGTATTACACACACATACACATAAAGTATATTTAGTTTGCAGTAGTACAGACACTTTGTGAAATTTCTTGTATCTTATCTACTCCACTTTGGTGCTTCCCTTGAAAGGGATGAGAGCTGCAGATGAAGGAATTGCTCAGAAAAGGAACATGGAAAGGGTGGGGGGAGCAATAATTCCCACCTGTCAATGAATCCTTTTGCAGTTATTTCTTGAACGGACATGTCTGTTTCCACTCCCGTTTCAATGCTTCCCTGCACTGTGACAGCCACAGTTGAATGGGATGGAGGAATCAGTGTAAGTGGGTGTAGTTACAGCTGCTGCGGGTGTCCCCACTGCTCTTTCTGACTGAGTATGGCTGAATGGGACTTAGGAAAGCATCAGAAGGAAGGAAGAAATTGACAAATGTTCATTCAAGGCATAATAGCAAGAGGAAGTAGCTGACAAATGGGAGTTGCTGGTTCCCCTACCCCAGTGAAGCTCCTTTTCAGAATAATTATTGCAGATTTGTGCAAATTCTGGCGAACAATTTTTTTAAAATACCTTAGACTAGTGGGGGGAAAACACCTTGTTGAAGGTGTAGGGGAAAGAATGGGACGAACTAATTGGGGTACCCATACCCAAAGTAACTACACCCACCCCAATCACACCATACCATTGAACTGCTGCTTTAGGAACTTGGGAAAGCATCAAAAGGGGGAAGGGAAAGGACAAGTATCAGCGTAAGGTGTAACAGTGACAGGATGACACTGATAAGCAGGAGTTCTTGCCCTCCACTTTGGTGTTACCTTTTGGGACAATTAATTTAATTCATTTTTTCATTTTTGATGTTTCTGAATTGTGCAAAAGGGATTGTTTTTTCTTGTAGAATTATTTTTTCCTGCTGCTTTACAAGCGTTCACAGATTAGCTTGCAACTTGCAGTCCTGTCTTATCGATGTCCTTGTATATTACAGCTCTGGAACAAGGGGAGGGGAATAGAGGTTGGGCCCATTCTCCTTAGCATTTCGATTAACCCATTCTTTGTCACTCTGTTGCAACAGCATAAAATTAAAAATGCTAATTCTGGTTCTTCCCCTAAGCAGAGATCTTGCACGACTAGGATCTCTAGGCTTCTGCTGTACCTACCACACAAACCATGACATAGCAGGGCTTGGCTCGTGTCCCCCGGCTGCCCTGCCACTCCCAAGATTCTGTGCCAGGAAATATTATTATTATTATTATTATTATTATTATTATTATAGCATTTCTATGCCGCCCCTTGCCGAAACCTCGGGGCGGCTTACAACATGATAAAATACATTGAAATACAATAGAACATAATAAATTACCATTAAATATAACAATACAAAAAATACATTGATTTACAAATACAAAATTAAAATTATCAGTATAAAATAAAAATATAGGAGGAGAAAGAGAAGGAAGAAGAAGTTGCCCTGGCCAGATCATATGTTTTAACAATTGAAATGATGTTTAAATAAAAAGGTCTTTACCTGGCGCCGAAAAACCAGTAACGACGGTGCCAGGCGGACCTCTTTGGGGAGTGAATTCCATAGGTTGGGCGCCACCGCAGAGAAAGCCCTCCTCCGGGTACTTACTCTCCTAATTTCTTTCATGGAGGGTTCCCGGAGAAGGGACTCTCCCGCAGATCTCAAAGGGTGGTCGGGCATATACGGACGTAAGCGCTCGTTCAGGTAGCCAGGACCCAAGCCGTTTAGGGCTTTGTAGGTCATAATCAACACCTTGAATTGGGCCCGGGCTTCAATGGGAAGCCAGTGGAGCTGACGGAGGACTGGAGTCATGTGAGCATAACGCCCCGTCCCCGTCAGCAACCTGGCAGCTCTATTTTGCACTAATTGAAGTGTTCGGACTGTCTTCAGGGGAAGCCCCACGTAAAGCGCGTTACAGAAGTCTAGGCGGGAAGTCACCAGCGCGTGTGTCACTGTCGCCAGGCAGTCGTACTCCAGGTGGGGCGCAGCTGATTAATCAGCCGAAGCTGAAGGAAGGCGTTCCTCGCCACCGCTGTCACCTGAGCTTCCAAAGAAAGCTCCGGGTCGAGGAGTACTCCTAAGCTGCGGACCTTATCCCTAAGAGGGAGTGTTGCACCATTCAGGACCAGGTCAAATCCACCCTCTCCGAAACCCGATCCGCCAACCAACAGGACCTCTGTCTTGTCTGGGTTGAGTTTCAGTTCATTGGCCCTCAACCATTCCCTTACCTCGGTCAAGCACCGGTTCAGCACAGCCACTGCCTCATCTGGGTTAGTGGAGAATGAGAGGTAAAGCTGGGTATCATCAGCGTATTGATGATTCCGCAGCCCACACCTCCTGATGACCTCTCCCAGCGGTTTCATATAGATGTTAAATAGCAGAGGGGATAGAATGGAGCCCTGTGGTACACCATGGCATAGCTGCCATGACGTAGAGACATGGTCCCCCAGCACTACCTTCTGGAATCGACCGTCGAGATAGGAGCGGAACCACTGCAGAGCAGTGCCTCCAACCCCCAATCCCGCAAGTCTGTCCAGAAGGATACCATGGTCGATGGTATCGAAAGCCGCCGAGAGGTCCAGAAGAATCAACAGGGATGTACTCCCTCTGTCCTTCTCCCTGCACAGGTCGTCGTACAGGGCAACCAAGGCAGATTCAGTACTGTACCCGGGTCTGAAGCCGGACTGAAAAGGATCCAGATAATCAGTTTCCTCCAAGAGTGCTTGGAGTTGTCCCGCCACCACTCGCTCCAGCACCTTGCCCAGAAACGGGATGTTGGCCACAGGTCTATAGTTAGTGGCCATCTCTGGATCCAGTGACGCTTTCTTCAGGACCGGTCGTATTACCGCCTCCTTTAAAGGGGCAGGCACTCGACCCTCCCTCAGAGAAGCGTTAACCACTTCCAAAATCCAGGTCCCAATCCCGTGCTTGGAGTTATTTATTAACCAAGACGGGCAAGGATCCAATAGGCAAGTGGTGGGACGTACTCTTCCAAGCACCTTGTCCACATCATTGGGCCGCAATAATTGAAATTCCTCCAGTAATTTTGGACCAGACGGTGGCATTGGCGACTCCTCAGAGACCTCTGATTCATTAGTGGAGTCCAGCTCGTGACGAATCTGAGCGATTTTCTCCCTGAAATGCCTGGCAAAGTCGTCACAGCGGGCCTTTGAGGGAGGCATCGGATCTTCCTTAGGACCCGGGCGAACCAGGCCTTGCACCACTCGAAAAAGCTCCGCTGGACGGCATTGTGAGGAGGCAATGGAAGCAGAAAAAAACTTTTTTCGCCGCCTTCACCGCCACAGCATAGGCCCGATAGTGGGCTCTCAAGTGTGTTCGGTCAGATTCATCCCGTGATTTCCTCCACCTACGCTCTAGCCGTCTCCCAACTCGCTTCATCGCCCGTAATTCAGGTGTATACCAAGGGGAAGAGCGGACTCTGCCCGGTGGGAGAGGACGCTTAGGAGCGATCGCGTCCACAGCCCTGGTCATCTCTCCGTTCCACAGTTCGACCAGAGCCTCGACAGGAGCACCAGTCTTGTCAGCCGGAAACTCCCCCAGGGCCCCCAGGAATCCATCCGGATCCATCCGGCTCCGGGGGCGGGCCCATACAATCGGGTCCGCACTCTTATAGAGGGAGAGGCCGCTCTCGAGCACAAACCTCACCAGGAGGTGATCTGACCATGACAATATGGCACAAAGGAGTTACGTTTTCACATTACCAAAACAAAGAGAACAGTCAAGAGGGTGCCAACCTCTTTAAAGAGTTTGAGTGGGGCTGCTGGCATCTGCTCTTCTTCTAAGTATGAGATCCAATTCCACACATGTTTCTTTCCAGGAACAGCTGAGGAATCAAAGACAGGAGAACACAGGGATGAGCAGAGTCCCATGGACACGATGTTCTACGTGCCACATTTAACTAGAAATCAAAACACTAACACTCCCTTTCCTTGCAGCTGGATAGCAGTTTTCAAGAACAACTGCAACTATAATGTCACGATCCTGTTCCTAGAGTACATATTAAGAGAACAGCCTGCAGTGCCCTTGGCTACATTTCCTGGCGAAGGCGTCCTGCCCAGTTCTTCCTTGTCTGCTTAGCAAAAGCCTGGCACTATGGGGGCGTGAGTGTATCCTGCGGTCGTCTCCCAAGCAGAAGAGACAAAGCGGGTGTCCATCGGTGCCCACCATGCACTGCTGTAACACGGCTGTGAATGCTGTCAGGGAAAACTAGAAAGGGGAGGGAGGGAGGGGTGTGGGAGGAGGAGGCTGAGGAGAAGTCTTTCGAGGCAGCATGGGCTTTGTATGGCGGCTTTATTTATTTATTTATTTATTTATTAAAACATTTTTAATAAATAAAATTGCTGGAGCTTGCTGGAGCTACTGGAAGAGACTTGGCCAGAGCTGTCCCACCCGCTGCTCTTCCTGCCCAGCAGTTTGTGCATTATTTTGGCTTTTTCCTGGGCTGGTACTTGTAGACAAGCCGCTTGCTGGCACTGCTAGAAGGTCTTGGGGAGAGTTCGTCAACGCTGCCATTTCTGAGGGCAAGTTTGGAAGAGTTGGGTTGTCCTCATGGGCAGTTTTATTTTATTTATTTATTTATTAAAACATTTCTATGCCGCCCCTTGCCGAAGCCTCGGGGCGGCTTACAACACAATAAAATACAATAAGATACAAAAATAACAATATAAAATTAAAATTAACAATATAAAAAAAATAAAAGAAATATAAAAGAAGTCGCCCTGGCCAGTTGTAGTCCACCATGTGAAGAGAGAGGCCTGCGCTGGCTGGGGTAGCCACTGCCACCTTCCGCTTCCTCTGCTGTTTTCACACCAGCCCCCATTTGTGAATTGTCTGTCTGTCTGCTGCTACTGGCACCCAGTTTTCTCTGTCTGGGCCTGGCTTTTCTCGGGCTGCCCTCCTCATGGGTGCCGCCATTTTGAGAGACGAGAAAGTTGAAAACACCAGCAAGTAGATTCTTTTGATTTTATTCTTAAGGCCACGGGATGCAAGTCTCCTGCATCAGCTCAGAAGTAAGTTCAGTGAGTATGTTCAGTAATTCAAAAGAGAGTTCAGTGGGGTGTGTGCCTATGCAAGTGAGCAGAGGATCACAAACTTAGCTTGCTGTACAAAAGAGGACAACAGAGGTGCTGGAAGAAATGCTCTAAGAGCTTTGAAGTATTCTAATAATCAATACATAAAACAGGGATCAAGTTGGTAGGATGTTATTTGTATCTATTAATTCTACTAGCCTGGATATATTATGGGCTTCATTGTCCCAAAATTCTGAGTTGCATAATCATCCATTTTATAGCAGCTTTTCAGCTTTAAGTCGTGAAAGATCAGGTCCTCAGCTTACCTTGCTTAACTGGTTTAGCACTCCTACGGTTTTTCAAATTCAATTTATTCTTTTCCTGGAGACAGATATATTTTAAGAATTAAATGAAAATACGTGGACATCTTCACAGATATGAACGGTATTCTCATACTTTTGTAAAAATAACTTTTCTCTTCTAAACTGTGAACCACCTCGGCAGAAAGCCACAGAACTGCATAGTTGCCCAGCTGCAAAGCTGGAAAATAGTACCGGCCTGATAGCTAGAGATTGGAGCACCAATCCTGCCCACTTGCAGCTGGCACAGGAAGTACAGTGCAGGCTGTTTCTCTGAGGCTGCTACTTTGGAGACAGGCTTTTGCGGGTGAGGAAGGGGAAGAGACTAGCACTGCCAGAATACAGTATATCCTGGTGGTGCCTCAGCCACTTTCTCTCGTACTCTGAGGTGCAGTGTTTTGCAGAGCAGGGGGAGTGCAGAGGTGACTTTTGCCTCACTCTTTCCGCTCTACATAGGATACCCATTCTCCTATGAAATTGGAGGGTTGCATCTATATTGAATCGTGCCCTTAGGATGCATAACCCTATCATTCAGTGAATATCCCCCAAAATTGCCTTTTTAAGGTTTCCAGCATCACAGCATTTTCTGAATGCAAAATTTCAGAAACTGGATCTCCAATTCAAAAAGGTTGACAAAATGCACCTGGTTACTGTTTCACTTCCTGGCTACAATTTCAACTTAACAATGTATATTCTGTTACCTCGTCATCTTCTGCATTTTCTTCCTCATCCTCAGAATCCAAAAGCAACTTTCTCTTCTTCCGAAGCCGCTTGGAGGGTCTATCAGTTTCAAAGACCTGGCTGCCACTTGTCCGTTTCCCATAGTCGCTTGGATTAGCCTTAGAGGCTCTATCAAGAGACGTAACTCAAAATAAATGCAAAGCATCCACATGTGCTGACATTCCAGCCACTTAGCAACTGAGAAATGTGTCAGATTTGATGGTTTGAAAAGCTGGCATAATGGTTTGGAAAGTCTTTGGCTAGGATGCCTTAATGCTCATTTTTTCCCAAATGGACCCAGCCGCTCATACCGACACTGTTCTGAAGCCCTGCTCCAAAGTCTCCTCACCTATCGGATGCACAGTGCAGGGCTTCAGAAGACAGTAGCTGGATTCATGCTGTCAGGGAATGAAAAATGTCACAGGGACTTTTTCAGCCTTCTGTGCCTGACACAGAAATAAGGTGGAACGCAAAGGGCAGGCATGGAGTAGAGAAAAGAAACCTCCACGGCCTCTTTTCCTTCCCCGATTGTGTGAACCTCTCCAGGGCTACCTTGGTAGTAGTACCTATTTAGTGGAACGTCTTTCTAAGGGAGACTTGCCTCCCTTTCCCATTAACCAAGTTTACACAGTCATTTCAGACTATTATTTCAAGGGGTGCTTGGCATAATGGGCACTTAGTTCTTGTGGTCCTCTTACTGCTGCGGATTTTGAGAGTTTGAGAGTTAAACAACCCTCAGATAACCTACAGCAGACCGTGGCTATTCTGAGGGCTGTTTAGCCCTCAAATAGCGTTTGCTGCCCAAGTTCAGATTATGTGACAAACCGTGGCCACTCTCGGTGGTTAAATATTAAAAATGGCCACCTGCACATACTGGGTCTGCCACTTGCTGAAGAGGGGCACTTTAGTAAGCCCTGGTGGGTCACACTGATTGTGCAGAGCAGATCGCTTGGTAAGTTCGCACAACGCAAGAACCTATACTCATGGTTTAGTCTGGGTTGAGTGTGGTTTCTCATCGAATAGTGGACTGCTGTGCTGTGTGAACAAAGCAGCGCTGTAAAATATTGTTTGGTTAATGGCAAACAACCCATTGTTATCGGGTTGTTAAGTTTGGGTTGTTTATGGCTATGAAACCGTGGTGTGTTAGGTCGGCAGGATTCACACAACACAACACCTGACATTTTAAGGGCGACCCACATTTCAATGATAAACCACGCTGCCTTGAGTTCTTTAAGTTGCTATTTTCCCTATCGATTTTATGGGGTATTTCAATGTTCCAGCATTCATCGTAACTCAAAATGCAAACTGGAGTATGAAAGGTATAGTGAGAAACATTTGTGTCGACAATATACAGATTATGTGATGTCAGAAATTAATGAAACGTTTAAAAATAGATATTTAAAACCATTCATTCAAAAATCCCCAAACATTTGAATAGTCTGATATTCAGACCATCTAGAGTATTCTATACAGTCCTCTCTAATGAGTCATTTATTTACCTTTCTGTTACAAGCCTGAGAGCATGACTGGTATTATTGATAATTTTGACACAGCATCAAGTAAGTTTCAATTATTTTCATAACCATCAATGTACCATTAGCAGTCTCGGGCTTTTGTTACTGCAGTCCTTCTACAAAGGACATGCCACTGAATAATTTCTTTGGCCTATTTCTTATCCTGTTTCCAGTACTGCAATATCTTTTTCGAATCATAAAGATCAGATCTGAGGACCATCTTTCAGTAAAAAAATCTCTCAGAAATAAATTTGTAAAGAGGTTAGAGAGGCTGAGGTTCTGAACCTGAAACCTCTCATCTCTTTAAATGTAGCCTTTGGAGCGCAGGCTGCAGCACCGGTACTGATCCTTGCCCTTTTAATACACCGAGACAAAACAGAGGTGAATCCATATTCTATTTGTGCTCTGGGAGCCTATTTGAAAGATGCTAATATGGTATATGAAATATAGATCAAACAAGTCACCACCTCTCTTTACAGTCCTGGTGAGAATTCTCAAAGCTGTCCATCTGCCCAGGGTGCCTGCTATTTTCACTGGTTTGGAGCTCAGATTTGGGAATGCTGCCTCTGACCTCTGGGGAAAAAAAAAGATTGGCAGTGAGTAATTAAAAATAAAATTACTTGAGACTTCAGATACTTTTATGCAAGAAGCTCTCTCGATTTTTTTAGTTACCCATTAAGAGAATTTTCATGACATCCTGCAAGCAAATTAATCACCATGAACCCAGTATTTGAATAGAGTTATGTCTCTCAGGCCCAAGTCCAAACAACAAACTTCTGCAGCTTCTGTGATATTTTAATTATGAAGGAACTTCTGAGACAAGATGAATAGTATTTGAAATTTTGTTGAAACTATAATGTCCCTAGGTACCTATTCTACAAAATGGCTTCACCTATATTGACAAATTCCAGAGGGAGAAGTTGTGCTAGTTAGTTGCAGCAAAACAGCAAAGGAATCTTGTAGCACCTTAAGGACTAATAAATGTATCGTGGCATAAAAGGATGTTTTTGGTATCTCATTAAACACATCCCTTAAGGATACATTCAAGAAAGGAAAGAGTGATTTAAAACATCTGATGATTTACTTAAAGAATATATCACCTGTCTGAGAAAAATATTTCACACTTTTGTAAGATTTGCATATAAACGGAGAAAAAAATTCACTGCCCCAAATCTCCTTAATTGTCAAAATATCCACAGGAATTAGGATGTCTTTTAAACATATAAGGCATTTATATACACTATGCTGTTGCTTGTTATTACTTAGGCAATATTAGCTATCTTTTATCTACCTGTAAATAATGTTGAATTAATGTAATAACCCAAGTGATACTCAATAAAGATGATGAACACAGATTTAAATAGGAGAAATATGCTATATTCTAATCATATACATGGATTACAGTGTTTTATAACATGGTAACACATTCCTTAAATTTTAATGAACTAGTAGAAACAAGGGGTAAAAGCCAAACTAAGTCTTATTTAACATAGACCCACTTAAATACATGGGACTTAGGTTAGTTTATGACTCTCATTTCAATGGGTCTACTCTAAATAGAACTTGCATTGGATTTTAACAAATGTAAATATATGCAAACAAACGTCTATGACTTTATGCATAAATTATGCCTGAACAGGACTAATCTTTATCCGCAATCTGGATGATTTCACTGCTGTGGTCTCAAGAATTTGTCCTTGCAAGTCTTTTGGAATTCCAGAGAGCAGCCCTCCTGGACCAACTAGGATTCAGGGATCTGCGAAGAGCTGCCCCTAGCAATCCGAGCGGTTATACAGCCATCCTCCCGCTGCCTCTGCTTGCCAACCTTATGAAGCTTCCTCTCATCAATGGGATCACAAGCCATGGAGTTCCTGGAGCAATACGAGAATAGGGATCATGTCTTGGTCCTATACCCTCTGCCCTCTATCACCTTGATCTATGACCCGATACTGGCACTATCTGCTGCCAGGAGTGCTGCTGCCGTCCCTCTCCTTGCCTGTGCCTTTGCCCCAATTGCTAGGGGCAAGTGGGGATGCTTACAGATTGCACTGGGAAGTGATGAAGGCAGATACTGCTAGCTGGGCAAGGCGCACTTTAATTCACTTCCCTTGGGGGCAGGCCCAGCTCTCCTTGGCATGCTAGGAGGGAGGGAGGGAGACGTGTTTAAAGCTGCCTTCCTAGTGTGCATACCTGTGGGGCAACAGGCACAGAAGCCAACTGGGGCCACTGCTGTAGTGGCAACGGGCCAGTCATGACCAGAATGCCTCCTGGAGTGGACTGTGCAGCAGCAACAGAAGGCCTGTAGCCCAGTTGCTTTCCCTGGACTTTCAGTGGTGTCAGGTGAAAATCCTGGGGTGGGAAGGTGGTGTTTGGCAGTTCTACTGCATGGTCGGCTTGTGTGAGAGACAGGCTAACCTCCTCCTCCTCCAGCATCTTCTCACTTCATCTTTTAAAGATGTTCTTCGCATGCAGCATGAGAGCTTCAAAGAACTGTCTCCTACTACAAGCCAGGAAATTAAACAGAAATCTTGGAGAAAGTCCAAGACCAGTTGGCCTTGTGTGCTGGAGGAGAGAACCTATGTTTAGGGAAATGGTTTTAAAACAGTGTGCTTATAGCTTTGGTTGAATCTATTTCATTTGTTTTGTATAGTCAGGTGCCATTCAATCTGTCATTCCCTCAGTGACAGAATCAGATTGTTTAAACCAGAATGTCATTCTACTTATGTTAATTCACATGTCATTTGCACTTGCAGAAATGCACTAATCTGCATTAATGGAAATGAGCACCAATGTGCCTTAAGTATTTGGATTAGCACATTTATGCAAAAGCAAATTAGTATAATTCCTTCCCCCAAAAGAGAAACACTGGTCTGCAAGTCCACAATATCTACATGATTCAGGAAAAGTTGGTCTGCTGCATGTGAAAGTCAGATTCATAGAAATCTGAACTCATTTTCAATTTGCTGCAGATTCCTCTGTCATCCCCATGTCTAGATATATTTAGATATATTGAGAGGCTGTAGCAATGTATTACAAGTGTAAGACCACTAAGAAGTAGACCAGGGGTCTCAAACTCGCGGCCCGCGGGCCAATTGCCAGGGCGGGTGGGGCACGGGGAGGGGCCCTGCAGCCTTCAAAGCGCCAGAGGCGCCCGGGCCAGCCTCCGGATGAGAGGCCCACCACCACCACGGTGGTGGAATACTTGATGCGGCCCAGCCTCACCCAGACTCTACTTCCAGCGGCCCCCAGGTAAGTTGAGTTTGAGCCCCCTGAAGTAGACCAAGATTTGACCAACTAATCGCCCCCTTTCCAATGACAGCATTAAGTTTACTAATAAAAATTGGCCCTGTTCGGACATTCAAGAAACCAGATGAATGCTCAAAGTAGCATAGGGCCATGCATGCTGGTCCCAACCCACTCAGTCTGGAACTTGCTTTGTGAAATCGACATGCTCCAAAAAGGAATTCTGCTTACATTCCCTTGATCCCAATTAAAACTCTCAGAATGAAAGCAGGGCCTGTGATCGCACTGAGAGATCTGCTCATGTCCTAGCCAGACAAACAGAACTTCCTTTCACACTTTGCTGGTTCAACACACCAAGGTCTGAACCAAGGAGGAGCGCACCCAAGAAAACTTAAGTGCTGATACATTCCTTCAAACATCTAATCAGGGTTGTTGATATTAACATACCACATAATATCCCAGATGGTGAGAAGAAATGGATAAAATCAAGACAATTGTGTGTAAACCACAATATTCCAAAGCTCAAGGTGGCCTGCCCATTCGATTTAGTTTCTTATATAAACCATGACCACAATGCTGAATGAGTAACTACTATCTAAAACAGATAATCAAGAAGCTATTTCATTGACTCACAAACCACTAAATGAATCCAACAAGTATACTGTACAAATCATACCTGAAAACACATCACTGTGTGGGTTTAATCAGTCTCATGATTGTGCATGTATTCTATCCTTCAGTTTAAGGCTCACCTTTGTAATCACAGGTAGTTTTGGTATTGGGAGCAGTAGACAAGTTAAGGACAGATGAATTGGTATTTACTGAGGCAGAGAAAGCTTTTGCAGCTTTTGCTTCAACTTCTGTAATGAGTTCCAGTGTTCCAAATTCACTTAAACGAAACTGTGAGGGGGAAAAAGTGAAGGAAGTAAACATACAACACAAAATATTGCAAATATGCTTTGGAAGGAAGAACGACAGTGTACAGGGCTCACCAAAAAGAGGTAGATTGAAGTCAAAATGCAATTAATGAAGAACATTGCAGTAAATACTGTACAGACAACTATAACTGCCCAGAGAGCCTCAGCCATCAGGCAGTATATAAATGAATTAAATAAAAGAATAATAAATTGCTTGGGCACTGACCCTTCAGCAGGAACACAGATGAAAAGGGTACTTCAACATTCATACAGAAACCACATGAAGCGGACCTATGAGACTTACACAAATGCCACAGGGAATTATTACGTGCACAGGATTAAATGGTTAAAACTGTAGATTTTATTTGAGAAAGTGTGAGCACTCTCTCATAGTGCCAAATAAAAATTCAAAAAGAGGAAAACACATATCTGGTGCCTCAGCAGGCCAAGCTGGCTCTCCCTTCCTGCCATGCTCTTACAGCACGGTCCTCCAAAAGAGCATATGCAGTCTAAAAAGAAAATGTCTCCACACACTTTATAAATGACCAGGGCATTCTTTAGCTTGTGAGAACAGCAAAGTACAAGGTGTTAGCAAATATTTCTGCTGCATCTTTCATTGTACGCTCCTCCTCAGACCCTTATAACTCTTAACTGGTATCTGCCACAATTAGTCAACAACTACATCCACCTCCTGACATGACACAATCCAGTCAGTGTTAAATCCTTAGAATTTTGAAGTGAGAGTTTTAGACTTGCGCCTAACTATCCAAATTAAATCAATGGGACTCAAAGCGAAGCATTTCGACAGGATATGTCTCACAGTATATACATTTACTACACGGCATTTGCATCCACAAGTACTGATAGATTCCCCAGTTATGGAGGGCAGTCAATACTTTAAAATATGTGAACGAAGGCTGGAAAAATCGTAAGAATGAAAACCCCCAGAAAGTGAGGGAAGATTTGTTTTGGGCTTATTTATTCTTGAGGACTTTATAAAAACTAAATAGTGTGCTAACATTTGTTTTGCAATAAAATTTATTCATCCTCATCTTAGGTCAACATACCAGTATTTGCATCTTTGGGAAAAATGTTACCCAGCCAACCTGTTGATTAATAATTGCGTATTAGCACAACTATGTTTTGCTTTTCTAAAGGAACAACAACAACAGAAGGCTATTCCTTGGAAACAGAAATAGGCAATTAACATGATGAAGGGGCTGGAACAACTCCCATAAGAAGACAAGTTGCATCTGGCGTTGTTTAACAGAGAAAAAAGGTGTGTAAAGAGAGATAACAGAGGTGTATAAATTATGCATGGTATGGAGAAAGTGGATACAGAAACACATTTTCCCTTTCTTACAGTGCTAGACCCCAGGGTCATCTCATGAAGCCTCCCGGTGGGGTATTCGGGACAGATACAAGAAAATAGTTCTTCACACAGCACATTGTTTAATTGCTCAATCCACTCCCACAAGGCATAGTGATGGCCTCTACTTTGGATGGCTTTAAAGGAGGATTAAACACGGTCATGAAGGAGAAGGCTATCAATGCCTACTAGTCCTGATGGTCATATGCCACATCTGCTGTTAGAGGCAGTATGCCTATGTATCCAGTTGCTGGAGAACTTGGGCGCGTGAATGTTATTCTGGTTACGGGTTTCCCATGGTCAGCTGGTTGGCTACCATGTGAGCAGAACTCTAACCTAGATGGACCGTTGCCCTGAATCAGCCTCATGCAGGTAGGTTAAGGAGTTAGCTTCAGTACAGTTATTGCGTGTCATTAAAAGCAAACTGATACTACACGCTAGGTAGGATTTTATAATAATGTTGAGATATTTTATTACAGTATTTTGAGGCATGTAAACTGTCTTTGAAACATTTAGGCCAATAGTGACATTATTTTCTGTGTTTTCAATAGCTGACTTGATATTACCTGTCATTCATGTCTGAAGAGAGAGATGTGTTAAGAATTTAAACCATCCTTGAAATAACATATGGTGCTATGTCACCTACTCCTGAATGCAAAAGTGGAAAGGGGAGAAGACATCAGAGATGAGGAAAATGCACACTGTATTACTTCATTAACAGCAAAGTTCTTAGGGTCATAGATCATATCAATAATGGATAGCACAAGCCATTTTTATAAAAGAAAGTAGTTAATGCATTTAAAAAATAACATTATGGAGAGCAGAATTAGCAAGCAGAATGCAGACCAGTGTCTAATGAAAATGTATGGATTTAAAAAGGGCATTCCAACCAAACTTCCTTGTGGAAAAAGATGCTGAATTAGATACAGAGGTTAACTCTTCCTGTATCACACAGGCAAAATCATTTTTCCAGCCAGCTTCTCTGACATACACAACCAGCCACAGAGTATTTGCTCTCCTTCCCATTGTCATCATGCACTCCTCTGCTGTTCCTGTTCGCCACTGGCATGCAGAACAAGTTCCAAGTTTGCTTAAAAATGCACAGATATGTAAGGAAACATGCTGCAGGGGGACCTGAGCGCCAATAAGTCCAAAGGACAAGATAGCAAAAACCTTTTGCTGTAGTTTCAGACTTCAGAGCAAAGTAAGGGTTCAGGACTACAGACAAAAGATTTTCTCTCGTCTACAAAATTATTGTATGTTTTTATTCTATATGCTAAGGCCTGTGGCTGACACGAATAAAGTTTTAGGGCTTAAGATTTCACAAAATTATTTCATTATTCTCCTGAATAAAGTGTACTTGTTTGTGCGACTGAAAACAGGCGAAACTAGTTGTTTTGAAGCATGAAAGCTCTTCTTAGCAAACATCTTGCCTCCAAATTCACTGTGCAGCAGGAAAGAACAAATAGCTAAATAAGCAGGCATCCAGAAATCCTAACAAAATGTTTTCATGACAGCATCTCATGCTTTTTGCTTTTTCTCACTAAACTGCAATTCATGTCAGAGGGCAACACATTTCACAGATCTTTTCTCTCCCCTGACAAAAGAACATTTGGAAACTCTTACTAACTTAGAGCCTTTCTTTACCCTATTCCTTATGTTTTTTTTCCTTACTTGTATGTTGCTACCCGGCAAGGTAGCAATGCCGTCTTTCCAGTCTAAGGCACCCATTACATCGAAGTCTGCAGTCTGGGCGATGGCTGGTTTTTTCTCCGAGAGATTCTGTTCCATCTTTCAGCTTACTCTTTGATTTTTTTTAATGTTAAGAAACAAAACTAGGCTTGAAAACAAAACAAAACAAAACAAAACAAAACAAAAGGCACAGAATCAACAGGCCAGTCGCTTAGAAGTCATGAACCACTTAAGAGTGGTGATTGTGCTTTTGGGGTTGGGGAGATGCATTCATGGAGAAAAATGTTAGCCTTCAGTGAAGCACATCTTCATTTTGATTAAAGAAACAAAATGACTGAGATTCAGCTTTTGTTAACCATCAGCATATTTAGGTTCTGGTCCTCACAGCAGAGGTCACCAGTTTTCATCTTTTTGTGGGAGCAGAAGTTTGTACATACAAAGTTTGTTTGTTTAGTAAGCTTCTATGCTGCCCCATTCGCTGAAGCCTCGGGGCGGCTCACAACAATAAATAAATACATATTAAACATATAAAAACAATATAATTGGAGACATCCTGGCCTAAGATATAAAATCAATAAATAAAGCTAACAATTAAAATGACGTTTAAATAAAAAGGTCTTGGCCTGACGCCGAAAAACAAATGATGGCGCCAGGTGGACCTCTCTGGGGAGCGCATTCCATAGGTGGGGCATATATTAGCGTATATTAGCTCTTGGAATTTTAAAGATATTGATTTAATATTTGAAATTCTTCTATGAGCAAAACAAGCACTTAAGCGAATTTACACAAATGTGAATTTTAAAGTTGAAGGAGCTAATTATGATGTGCGTAGAGGCAGCAGGAGGTCCAGCCATCTTTCTACTCACCTTTCTAATAGCTGTTTCATTGTACAGAAAAAAGGCCTCTGCAACTATACTGTGATGGGAATTCTTGCTGGATTATTGTAGTAATAACTATATTACTATATTCAGAAGCTTAACTGAGAGTGCAATCCTATGCATGTTTAGACAGAAAAATGCCTTACAACTCCCAGCAGTCGCTAGCTAGCCACAGTGATTGTGTAACTATATATAAAACTGATGGGAAAAAATCAATTTGCAAAGGAATTTTTTTGCAAATTATGTGAGGCAAGGTAATATTGACTGGGTCTGCACAACACAACAATCATGGATGACAATACATGGGTTGTTATGTCATGAGAACCTGGAATTCAACAAGTCTAACAACAGGGGTTGGACTTGATGGCGTTCTGGCCCCTTCCAACTCTACTGTTCTGTAAGTCATGTTGACAACCCATGGCTTATTCTAGGCACTGTAGTAAACAAAGAGTTGTCATGTTATCCAGATCCATGACACCAACCCTATTGTAGCTGGCAAGCCACTTGGCAAGAGTAGTAAAAACCCCTTGCCACTCATGCCGAGCCCCCATGGCCCCCCCTGGCGTCAGCCATCCCACTGACACCCGAGCAACACAAAGACGCCACGGACTCAGTGTCTCCTGCTATAAACACGAGCCCTTTTTCTCTTACCACCTCCGTTCTCATCTTTTCCCCTTCCCCCTCTTTTATCTTTTCTGTACCAAGTGGCACATTGGGGAGACCACCACTGGCCTGCCATCTATTTTTAAACATTAATTTGTACCTCAATTAATTTTTAATGTATATACAGCTGTCAAAGTAAAGCAGAGCCATGAATTCTCTTGCAGTTTCCTCCAGGACACCGCTTAGGAGTGGCTGCCCAGTGCACCCCTGAAAGTGAACACTTGTGTAAATGCAACTGCAAACATCCAAAAACAAAATTAATATTTGTGCACACTGGGATTGCAAAAGGGGGTGAACCAAGGAAAACCCCTTCAAAAAGCCAGCAGGGCACTCTGGTTGGGCTGTCAAAGGCTGCCAACTTGGAAATTGCAAAAAGTGTTC